GATAGGTTTAATATTGTAAGAAATCACTAATGGTAACAGTTAAACCTTGTGTTTGTCTAAAATAACATCCTGAATGAAACACATTAGAATATAAATACCCGCTCTTATAGGAGTGCGTCCGCCCGTCGTTGCAGAGGCAGGTTGAAGCGTCACAGTGCTCGTAAACCACCAGCAGGTCTGAGTATGCGTTTGTCTCCAACTCCCATGATGCATCTCTGCAGAAGAGAATATGGTGGGTAAGAAAAGAGACTTGTGTTCTGTGGTTGTTTCTTGTTGTTGTAGGGATCGTGTTACCTCTCTGGGATGTATATTCCCATCCTCAGCATCTCCTGCTGGAAGTCCTCCTTGTTGCTACACAGAGTGCATTTGAAGAAGAATAGGCCGGCACTGTGCGCCTGACGCTGGAACACAAACACACAGTCAATAAATAAATATTGTTTGGTACACATCCTCTAAAGCAGGGGTGTCAAACTCAAGGCCCGGGGGCCAAATCTGGCCCGCGACTTCATTTAATGCGGCCCCACAAGAGCTCTGAAAGAATATAATACGTTTATTATACGGTTACATGCCGATTTACAGAAGCACGTTGCCCATAAACTACATGTCCCACAATGCATCTCAAATATGATTTCTCCAGAATTTGACTTTTTTTTTTCAGAATTTGACTTTTTTTCAGAATGTTACTTTTTTTTCTTCAGAATTTCCCTTTTTTTACATTTTCAATTTTTCCCCAGAATTTGGCTTAAAAATAATCATTTTGTGACATTCTCACTGAAGAGACTTCCAATGAGTTCCCCTAGACTTCTGCTTTCAGACGTAGTTAATTATGAAGTGATTACCCTATCCGATAATGATCCAATGCAGAGGCAATAATGTCATATAATACATTATATTAAAATATTTACATATGTATATATATATAGTCTTAAAGTTACAACCGGCCCTTTGAGCGCAACCAAAATGTTGATGTGGCCCGAGATGAAATTGAGTTTGACTCCCCTGCTCTAAAGAATAAATAATAAAGAACATTATAGAAAATGTCCCTGTGTAACCGATCCTGCTCTGCTAAAGATGTCACTCATTGTGTAAAATGCTTTTATTTATTTGTATTTGCTTTACTATTATTAATGTATTTGTTATAATTATCTTATTTATTTCCTTGTTTTAAAAGGTACAGGATGTGATTACAAAGATGACTGCATCATCGTCATACATTTGTACATTCAAATCAGGACATACATTAGGCAAGTCATTAATGTACAGAGAAAACAGTAATGGTCCAAGAATGGAACCTTGTGGAACCCCAGGGTTCACAAGGTAGGGGGATTTGGGGGGATTACCTATTTCTAATCTTTTGGGGGGATTACCTATTTCTAATCTTCCGTTCCTCTCAAAAATTATTGAGAAAGCAGTGGCAAAACAGTTGTGTGATTACTTAAAAAACAATGATTTATTTGAAGATGTTCACATCATAGCACAGAGACAGCTCTGGTTAAAGTCACAAATGACATTCTAATAGCCTCTGACAAGGGACTTGTCTCTATTCTTGTTTTGCTCGATCTCAGTGCTGCATTTGATACTATCGACCATGATATCTTATTGCAAAGACTAGAGCACTTAGTTGGCATACAGGGAACTGCTTTAGACTGGTTTAGGTCCTATCTATCTGAACGCTCTCAGTTTGTACGTGTCAATGATGAATCTTCCACGCAAACCAAAGTTAGCCATGGAGTGCCACAGGGCTCAGTGCTCGGACCTATTTTGTTCACATTATATATGCTTCCGTTAGGCAATATTATAAGGAATCATTCTGTAAACTTTCATTGTTATGCGGATGATACTCAACTATATTTATCAATCAAGCCTGATGAAATTAATCATCTAAATAAAATTCAAGACTGCCTCAAGGACTTAAAAACGTGGATGACCTTAAACTTTTTGATGTTAAACACGACCAAAACTGAAGTTATTGTACTTGGCCCGAATAATCTACGAAACAAATTATCTAAAGATATACTAACTATGGATGGCATTAATTTGGCCTCCAGTGAGACTGTAAGGAATCTTGGTGTTATATTTGATCAGGATTTATCCTTTAACGCCCACATAAAATCAATTTCAAGGACCGCCTACTTCCATCTACGTAACATTGCAAAAATCAGGCATATCTTGCCTCAAAACGATGCAGAGAAACTAGTCCATGCATTTGTTACTTCAAGGCTGGATTATTGTAACTCTTTATTATCAGGGTGTACCAAGAAGTCAGTCAAGTCGCTTCAGCTGATTCAAAATGCTGCAGGCTCGTTGTACTAACCAGAGTTAGGAAAAGGGACCACATTACTCCTGTTCTGGCTGCCTTACACTGGCTCCCTATAGAACACAGGATAGAATTTTAAATTCTTCTTCTCACCTACAAAGCCCTTAATGGGCAGGCGCCATCTTACCTTAAATAACTCATTATACCCTACTGTCCTACTAGGGCATTGCGTTCCAAGAATGCAGGGTTGTTGGTTGTTCCTAGAGTCTCTAAAAGTACAATGGGAGCCAGAGCCTTTTCTTATCAAGCTCCACATTTGTGGAATCAGCTTCCAGTTTGTGTTCGGGCGGCAGACACCCTATCCGTTTTTAAGAGTGCGCATAAGACCTTCCTTTTTGATAAAGCTTATAGTTAGGGCTGATTAGATTCAGCCCCTAGTTTTGCTGATATAGGCTTAGTTTGTCGGGGGACATCTTACTTCTTCCTTCTCTCTGTCTGTACCTGTGTACTCTCATGTTCCGATTAACCCAGCTTCCCCAAATGTCTTTCTTTTTGGTGTCTATATACGCCGGGATCCGGAGTCATGGATGATCCTGCAGTCCTGTGTCCTGCATCGCAAGCCCTGGATCTTGAGTCGTGGCTGTGGTCCTGGATCATAGGTCCTGGATGGATATCCTCGTGGATTCATCTTCCTATTATACACACATGCATTTCCAAACATTTGGACTACCTATGTTGCAAATGTATTATCTTTTCAATTTACACACGGCATCTATTGCACGTCTGTCTGTCCTGGGAGAGGGATCCCTCCTCTGTTGCTCTCCCTGAGGTTTCTCCCATGTTCCCTTTAAACTGTGGGTTTTCTTCGGAAGTTTTTCCTTGTACGATGTGAGGGTCTAAGGACAGAGGGTCTAAGGACAGAGGGTGTCGTATTGTCATACTGATATTTTTGTACAAATTGTGAAGTCCACTGAGACAAATGTAACATTTGTGATATTGGGCTATATAAATAAACATTGATTGATTTGGCATCGTTGACCAAAACACACTGTTTTCTGTTTGATAAGTAAGACCTAACCCACTGTATTGAATCTGCAGAGAAATGTAAATGAGTGAGCTTTGTAAGGAGCACTTGGTGGTCAACGGTGTCAAAAGCCTTCCTGAGATCAAGGAAGACAGCACCTACACCTGGGCTCGTGTCCAACATACATTTAACCTTTTCCACAAAGACACAGTTAGCTGTCTCAGTGGAGTGGTGAGCACGAAAACCAAACTGCATAGGGTGGAGTGGAGCGAAACCTTTATCTAAATGTTTGGTGATTAGTTTTGACACTCATTTCTCAGCTATCTTAGAGACACAGGTGAGGATGCTGATTGGTCAGTAATTGGACATTATAAGGGTCATAATTCTGTTTAACTTTGAAATGTTTGACAGGAAGTGCTTTTCATTTGAAGTGCAAGGAAGTCTCCTGCTCTGTGTTTTTCCAGGTGTCCGGTGCCTTGCTCAAGGGCACCACAGCAGGGCAGGAGGTGAACTGGGACCTCTCCAAGTAGCAGTCCATATTTAGGTCTGGTCGGGGACTTGAACCGGCGATCCTACGGCTCACAGTTCAAGCCCCTACTGACTGAGCCACACACGACATAATATTGCCAATCATATTGCATTTGCAGAAAAATACCAGTCAAAGTATTCACATTTAGTTTGTTTTTCTTCAAATCATGCAGCCCTATAATTGGGGTAAATAGATTTATGAAAGTAAAGCAGTGTCACTACCTGCACACAGTCCCGGTGGAACCAGCTGTGGTGGCAGGACGGACACTTGAGGACAGAGTATCCGAGGACCGGCTCGATGGAGTCCAGACAGACGGAGCAGGACTGAGGCAGGCTGAGGTCTGCACTCACACACGCCGTCTGAGAGGGGCTGTGGTCCGGGCAGTACGACCTGCACACACACAGGGAGAACTTCAGGAGTAAATATTAAAAGGTCACCTATTATGCAAAATCCACTCCAAAAACCTGTCTGAAAATGAGCTGATCAGATTTTGGCCACTTTATGATGTCATAACGATGTTTTTGTCTTGTGTTACTAGCAGGATTACAATGTTACAATACATTTTAAACCATTACATGATCATGAGTATACATGTCTGACGTTGTTCTCATTTCTGCTCACCATTAAACCACCGAGTGTTGATTGTGTAGGGAATAGTAAGTAAGATTAAGATAACTTACACATGTCTGAAATTTCCTGATTTTAAATTGTCTGATATTAATCTTAGTGTCTGTAATAAATTAAAAATATCTTGGACACTTTATTACAGAACAAATGACAGATGATGAAGATATTTATAGGCAATGCCGCATGATGTATGTATGCACAAGCAAACATTCTCCTACGTAGGTTTGGTGCGTGTACAGATGGAGTGAAGATGTCTCTGTTCAGAGCATATTGCACACTGCTCTAAACGGCACGTCTGTGGTCAAACTACAGAAAAGCAAGTTTACGGAAACTTCAAGTACTATAATGATGCCATGAGAATATTGCTGAAGAGACCTCGATGGTCTGGTGCAAGTGAAATGTTTTTGGCTGCAGGAGTCAATACTCTACAAGCTGTTTTAAGAAATCTTATGTATAAATGTATTTGTCGGCTTAATGACTCTGATAATGAAATCCTCTTGGCCTTATCGAACATAAGGTATAGTACTACACGCTACCAATCGCAGCTGTGGAGACATTGGTATAGTTGTCTCTTTGTAGGACACTGATTTAAATTATTCTTAAACTATGAATTCTTTTTATGCTGTGTATGTAATTTATTATATGTAATGTCTTGTCTTTTATCTGGACCCTGAGTCTGTAATAAAGTTTTAATAATAATTACCCTCACCCTTTTAAACACACTCTGAACGGGACTTCTATATGAGACACAATGACTCTCACCTTTATCCATTTCACTAATAAAATAAGAATGTTTATTGTGTTGACTCACGGGAAGTTTTTAGTGAACTGAGAGATGAAGTTGAGTTTCCTCCCGCAGGGGTAATGCGCCTTCTTCCTGCAGCTCCTGACGTTACAGCCCACACACGCTCCCTTCTTCTTACACAGGTTGCATGCCTGTAACACACACATGGTACACACGCGTTATACACACACCCTTCTTCTTACTCACGCCTGAGACAGACAGACAGACAGACAGACAGACAGACAGACAGACAGACAGACACACAGACAGACAGACAGACAGACACACAGACAGACAGACAGACAGACAGACACACAGACACACAGACAGACACCACAGACAGACAGACACACAGACAGTAAACACACACACACACACTGTAAAACACACACACAGTAAACACACTGTAAAACACACACACAGTAAACACACTGTAACACACACAGTAAACACACTGTAACACACACACACACAGTAAACACACTATAACACACACACACACACACAGTAAACACACTGTAAACACACACACACACACAGTAAACACACTATAACACACACACACACACAGTAAACACACTGTAACACACACACACACAGTAAACACACTGTAAAACACACACACAGTAAACACCCTGTAAAACACTATGGCGTTATATTTGTGCCTCTATCCTGAGCGCGCACTTGAAAAATGTTGAGCACAGAGAAATATATTTTCTCTCGTAAAACTCCTGCTCCGTGCGCAAGCAGACCGCTGTTGACGTTCTTATTACACATCTATCGTTGACATTTACAGGACATGACAGACTCGGATGAAGAGAATAGCACGCCACAGTGTCAGGTGAGTTATACCTTTCTAGTTTTCTGATATCACGTTATTGTTTGCAATGCCTGAGTTTGCTAGCCGGCAACATAGCTATAGGGGTAGTTTAAGCAAACCGCTAACAAACCGTAGCATACATGTAGCTGAACCCTTCTGAGGTATTGATTACTTGCTGTAAGCATTAGAGGTGGCAGAATGACAAAACATGTTTCTCTCTCTATCACAATGTTGGGTTGACCAGAACCTGGACCAACTTCTGTTTCCTGTTCTACAATGGGCATATGCTTGCGTTAATTTTCAACCGGACAAATGAGGCTAGGATACCGGCTAAAGTTAGCAACACACGTTAACCATGAACAGCCTATTAATCCGTTCTCCTCGTGTTATTTCTTCCAACGTTGTGGAATTAGAGAAAAGGGGCTTCTTAACGTGCTTTTATCCGGGGTGGAGGGAGTTACATATTAGTTAAATATAACATTGGGGCGTGTGATTGTAGTGGGTGGTGAAATGAGGATATCCATTTTGGAGTTCCAAGGCAAGGCAAGGCAAGTTTATTTATATAGCACTTTTCAACACAAGGCAATTCAAAGTGCTTTACAAAAAATGAAAGAGATTAAGAAAATGGCATTTAAAATCAGTCATTAAAAAGAAAAGCTAATAAAATAAACATTAAAAGAAAATACATGGATAAAAGTTACAGTGCAGTCAATTAAACATTAAAAGAAAAAAGTACATGGATAAAAGTTACAGTGCAGTCTAAGATATGAATAGTTCAATTAAAAGCAGCGACAAAAAGAAAAGTCTTCAGCCTGGATTTAAAAGTAGTCAGAGTTGCAGCGGACCTGCAGGTTTCTGGGAGTTTGTTCCAGATATTTGGAGCATAATAACTGAACGCTGCTTCTCCATGTTTAGTTCTGACTCTGGGGACAGAAAGCTGACCAGTCCCTGAAGACCTGAGAGATCTGGATGGTTCATCATTTAGCAGGAGGTCAGAAATGTATTTTGGGCCTAAACCATTCAGTGCTTTATAAACCAGCAGCAGTATTTTGAAATCTATTCTGTGACACACAGGAAGCCAGTGTAAAGACTTCAGAACAGGAGTGATGTGATCCACTTTCTTAGTGTTAGTGAGGACTCGAGCAGCGGCGTTCTGAATCAGCTGCAGCTTCCTAATAGATGTTTTAGTGAGACCTGTGAAGACACCATTGCAGTAGTCGAGTCTACTGAAGATAAAAGCATGGACAAGTTTTTCCAAATCCTGCTGTGACATTAGTCTTTTAATCCTAGATATATTCTTTAGGTGACAGTAGGCTGATTTAGTAACTGTTTTAATGTGACTGTTGAAACTCAGGCCAGAGTCCATGACTACACCTAGATTTCTGGCTTTATCTGTTGTTTTGAACATTGCACACTGAAGCTCAGCGCTAACTTTTATACGTTCTGCCTTGGCTCCAAAAACCATTCCAGCTAGAATAATATAGTTAACGTTACACAATAATAAGGAAGAGAGCTATTGGTGTGATACATCGCCATTGATATGGATTTAGAGTGGATATTTGAGACTTCCAAACAGTAAACAAAAACGTAACTTATGGGTGAGTGTTTTTAGCAGAGCCATATTATGTCCTTGTGATTCTGTTGATTATTACCTGTCTGTATTATATTGCAGCTCAGCTGATTTTGGATTGATGGCAAAGGGAGAGCGACTTAAAGAGCCTGTGACAGCCTCCCAACAACTGTTGTGCAATTAAATATTGGGCTACTAGTAATCTCGAACCGTCAGTTTAAAAAAGAAGGTGCGATACCGTTCCGTTAAATATCAATAATTTCGAACATCGCGGGGAAATTCCTTCGACTCATTTTGAAGTTTTGGGGAAGCCGGATGTGACGTCAATGCGGGAACGCTTCACTGTGCGGCGAGAGAGCCAAACACGGACAAAGTGTGTTGTCATGCGTAGAAATGGTGAATTACTGAGTTTAGGCACGTTAATAACGTTTTAATGAAGTTGACTACAGTATATTCATATTTGTCAGTGCTTTCATGTCAATTCGGCGAACATAAACATAAATGATCGTGGTGAAGATGATGATTACATTAGGATTACAAATCGGTAGTGAGAGCTGCTGAATTTCCTCCCGTCGGATGTGATATAAAAACAAATCGATTATTTTTGTAGTTGTAAACTCAAGTGGATGAAACTACATTTATTAGTGCTTTCATGTCAATTCGGCGAACATATGATACATTAAATGATCGTGAGGATGATGATTAAAAATCGTTTGTTTGTGCCGGTCTGCATTTCCTGATGAGAAAACCACCCGATGCTTTTTGTAGTTGTACACCAACATGGATTAAACGTGTGGTTTTTTCACCACAATGTTGGGGAAATTAATGGATAAAATGCACGGATTATTATTATTATTATTCCCACTCCGATCGGGACACTAGGTCCACCGTTTCCCCGCAGCGAGGCTCCGCCCGTTGACAGTTTACCTGGGCTGGGTGCAGTGGCGGACTGGCCATCGGGACGAATCCCGATGGGCCGGTACCGAAGTGGGCCGGTCGGATAAGTCACTAGCACATCCCCCATAGGCGGCGCGTGAGGCTCAGGTTTGGGAAGGCTAAATAACTTTTTTTTACCTGACGCTGCCCGCCTCCTGCATCTATAGAAAAGAGATCAACTCAGTGTGCGGAGTTTAAATCTCTCAAGTCATATTACAGGATAAAGGAAATACAGTTTAAACTGCCGTATGCAGAGAAGACGCCGACGTGTCGCACTTATCATTCATATTACATCATCAATCAGATCATCGATCATATAATGTATCATATATTTCCTTATCTGAGTCAGCTTCTCCAGCCGTATCTGGCCGTGCAACACTTACAGTGTCACATACTGTATGCAGAAGAGAAGTATTATTTTAAGCAACACATTATGTTGACGAAACACTCGAGTCAAATGTAATTAAAGTGAGATCCACTCGTGTCTTAGACGTGAACGCGCTCTCAGCTTGAGAGAGAAACCCTGGCTTGATTTACCGAGTTGATAACCAGCGTCGTAGGACCGTTTAGCGAGATCTCGTTTGTTAGTTTGTTGTTGTTAGTTTGTTTGTTACTCAAACATATCCAGGGTCTGTTGAACTGGCTTCGTAGTACAGGGCACAGGTGGCTGGCAGCGCTAATGTCAAAGACACAGACATTGCATTATATTTGTATTTTACCAAGATGCAGTGACACAAATATTTACATATTTACATTTACTATCTACAGCACCTGCCGCCCCTGACATCCCCCACTCCCCCCGTTGACAATTTACTAGCGGTACCGAAGTGGGCCGGTCGAGAGTCCCGGGATGATTTTTAGTCCCACTGGCTACATGACCGTATGATCGCCCATATTGACGCACCTAATTCCTAAACTTCTAACAGATACAACATAAACCGATCCTTCAGCCTCATATGAGCTCTCAGACACGTTCAAAATTAAACGGTCATCGCTGTCTGAGCTTGCTGCTGTGTGCGCCATCGTGCGTTTACATGCAGATGCTGGGATCCTGAACCGTGCAGCTGGAGCGCTGTGCCCGCAATGACGTCACACATCATTTGGCGGGACTTGAAGAATCCCCGAGCAGATCCAGGAAATGGTCAACATTGAAGGGCAGATTAATGGTTATCAAAGTACAAATATCCAAAATCAGTTCAGTAACGGTTTTCAAGGGGACAATATTTACTCAAATTGATGGGTTTGGATGATGGGGGAAACTCGTGTCACAGGCTCTTTAAGTGAGAGTGAAAACACAAGGTAAGTTTAAAATAGGTCAGCAATTTCCCATCCTATAGGTTGCTAGATGTATCTAACCCTTTCTCCTGTCTCCCTCTCTCAGCACAAGAACCCCAGGGGGATTCAATGGAGCCTGAAGACCTGCACTGAGACCCTGCACCTGAGTCTCAGCTCTCAGAGCTTTGCAAGCCTCTCCCTGTTCCTTATTTTGATTAAACAGACATTAAGCTTCCCAATGGTGTGGTCTTCGTTTTGTGAAAAATATGATTACCTCACATATGTTGTTGCTGTCTTTTGTGATAGTTAAATTGCTCTTGTTGACTTGAGCCAGCCATTCTTTCCTCCTCTCTGTGTCAGTGGGGAAACCTTACATTCATACTCCTTTCTCTGAGCGCTTGGAGCATCCCCAGGCAGCACAGCAAACCATGGGGGAGACTATATGCCGGACAACACGGAGGAAAAGGCACAGACAAACTGCATGATATGCTATTCAATGTTTATTGAATTCCATTTATTTACAATGGATGTTCCAAAAACAACACATTTAACATCATCATCATCATCATCATGCTGCTGCTAGTCCTTTGACTCATTGTGCTGTCAGTTGACAATCATTGATAGGCACCTGTGGGTCTCCTGTCCTTTCTGAAAGTCATAAAGATTACATTAGTACTTTAGATTACTTAGGTCCTCTATTACCAGGGGATTACTGAAACCACCATGAAATGGTAGAAATGTATCTAATCAGAATTTTTAAACCTTTCTTCCCTCCCTCTAAATATATCAATAAACATTAGGATGTGATGCTCCTGACTACCATACAGGTTTAAGAAGATAATATTTGTTTTAAAGAATTCAAAGCAATAAACAACAGGCTCTTAAACCAAGGCAACGTTAGCCTAACATGTATGTTAACAGGTAAGATAGCTGTTCACACTATGTATATTTTCTACGTTGTAATGCTATGTTATTTCTATTTAAGATGTTTACATTTTCGATTGTTTAATTCTAGTCTTTTAACTGTCTAATGTACAATGCCTCCTTGTCTTTTGCTGCTGCAGCGTAAACATTTCCCCAATTGGTATCAATAAAGTAGGCTACTTCTTATTTTATCTTAATCCTCAAATATTAGCACATTAAAAAAACAAAACACATTGATGTAACTACACACATATCGATATGTTGTATAAATATTGCAAATCAAAACCTTTATTGACCACTAATTACCAAAAATTGCATTTCTATCCTGTTATTAATGCATTCAAATCGTGATTCAAATGGCCCGCCACGAACTTTCTGAGTCTCTCTGAACCACGTGACGATCAAGCATTTTGGACTTCCGCTGTAGCAACTCTTCTCTCTACATGGCGCTGGACCAGCCAATCAGAATTGACCTTCTCGAGTTCTCCGCTTGGTTGGTTTTGTGGCACATTTGTAACGCTGTGACAACTTGAGCGAGCGCAGGCAAAGCTGAGGGCGCGCAGGCAAAGCTGAGCGAGCGCAGGCAAAGCTGAGCGAGCGCAGGCAAAGCTGAGCGAGCGCAGGCAAAGCTGAGCGAGCGCAGGCAAAGCTGATCGCGCACAGGCTGGAGAGGTCGAGCGAGCGGGGGAGAGAGAGCGCGTGCAGCGGTCTGCTTGCGCACGGAGCAGGAGTTTTATGAGAGAAAATATATTTCTCTGTGCTCAAAACTGTTCAAGTGCGCGCTCAATAGCATTTTCTATGCTCAACATGTTTCATTGCGCGCTCAGGATAGAGGCACAAATATAACGCCATAAAACACACACACAGTAAACACACAGTAAAACACACACACACAGTAAACACACACACACAGTAAAACACACAGTAAAACACACACACACAGTAAACACACAGTAAAACACACACACACAGTAAACACACACACACACAGTAAACACACAGTAAAACACACACACACAGTAAACACACTGTAAACACACTGTAAAACACACACACACACACACACACAGTAAACACACTGTAAAACACACACAGTAAACACACAGTAAAACACACACACACACACAGTAAACACACTGTAAAACACACACACAGTAAACACACAGTAACACACACAGTAAACACACACACAGTAAACACACTGTAAAACACACACACACACACACACACAGTAAACACACTGTAAAACACACACAGTAAACACAGTAAAACACACACACACACAGTAAACACACTGTAAAACACACACACAGTAAACACACAGTAACACACACAGTAAACACACACACTGTAAACACACTGTAAAACACACACACACACACACACACATACACACAGTAAACACACTGTAAAACACACACAGTAAACACACACACAGTAAACACACAGTAAAACACACACACACACAGTAAACACACAGTAACACACACAGTAAACACACACACAGTAAAACACACTGTAAAACACACACAGTAAACACACACACACAGTAAACACACTGTAAACACACACACAGTAAACACACACACAGTAAACACACAGTAAACACACATTAAACACACATTAAAACACACAGTAAACACACATTAAACACACAGTAAACACACAGTAAACACACATTAAACACACATTAAACACACAGTAAACACACATTAAACACACAGTAAACACACATTAAACACACACACAGTAACACACACACACAGTAAACACACACACAGTAAACACACTGTAAAACACACACACACAGTAAACACACACACAGTAAACACACTGTAAAACACACAAACAGTAAATACACAGTAACACACACAGTAAACACACTGTAAAACACACACAGTAAACACACAGTAAACACACACACACACACACACAGTAAAACACACTGTAAACACACACACAGCAAACACACAGTAAAACACACACAGTAAACACACAGTAAACACACACACAGTAAACACACAGTAAAACACACACACAGTAAACACACACACAGTAAACACACACACAGTAAACACACACACAGTAAACACACTGTAAACACACACACAGTAAACACACACACAGTAAACACACTGTAAAACACACACACACAGTAAACACACACACAGTAAACACACAGTAAACACACACACAGTAAACACACAGTTAAACACACACACAGTAAACACACAGAAACACACACACAGTAAACACACACACAGTAAAACACACACACAGTAAACACACACACAGTAAACACACACACAGTAAACACACACACAGTAAACACACTGTAAACACACACACACAGTAAACACACACACAGTAAACACACTGTAAAACACACACACACAGTAAACACACACACAGTAAACACACAGTAAACACACACACAGTAAACACACAGTAAAACACACACAGTAAACACACAGTAAACACACACACAGTAAACACACTGTAAACACACACACAGTAAACACACACACACAGTAAACACACTGTAAAACACACACACACAGTAAACACACACACAGTAAACACACAGTAAACACACACACAGTAAACACACACACAGTAAACACACAGTAAAACACACACACAGTAAACACACACACAGTAAACACACACACACAGTAAACACACACACAGTAAACACACAGTAAAACACACACACAGTAAACACACACACTGTAAAACACACACACACAGTAAACACACAGTAAAACAGATTGAAAGCTCTCTCAGTCGCTCACCAGTCGATTTGAGCGGCGGACTTCCTTATAGATGTCCTTCACCAGGAAACCAAAGACGCCCTCGTGCTCCTCTCCTCCCTGGTAAACTCCACAGGCCGTCAGCTGAGACACACAAAAAACGATAATCAGCGTCGGATCTAGACACATATTCATGGGGTGGCCAGAGGGTGGCAGGGGTGGCGTCCCCTGGCAGAAGTATATGCTGATTTAATCGCAGTCATATCAACAATGTTAACTTGGAAAGCCACAATATTGATATTTTAACTCAATAACATTAGGTGACATTATTGTGGCACATCAGTAAATCCTTACATATAAATATATAAGGTGGCAGACATCATTGAATGAATTTGAACTGAACAATAACTGAATGAGTTTGTCTCACTCTTAGACCAGCAGGGGAACCAAATCAATGCAGACATTAATTAACTGTCTCATCGATGTTTGTCTGAATGAATATGATAATATTAACAATCATATTATTCCTATCAGCTGTCAATCACTGTTATGATTCACATATTCAGTGTTATTATTAAATAAACTATATTTTTTGGAGGAGTTAATGATGAATGTTCCTCAAGATGCTTGCTTACCCTCCTTCAAATCTGAAAGACAAGTAATTACTATCATAAATCAAAAGAATCAAAAGAACAGTTCAGCGCCCCACGACTTCATTGCAAACAGTTACAACCTGGACTTCACATCAGAAAGAACAAACATTAAAGAAGTGACTAACTGCATCAGTTAGGGTTAAAAAACGTGTGTTCAGCTGAAACATCGCTGCAGTTATGATCCAGTGGAAAGTCCTTACCTGCTGGCCTAGTTAAATCAAAGTGGTTACTTTCTGTTGGCTGGGCAGTGTAGTTTTACACACCGTCTTATTTGACTTTCTCAGGACTTCAAACTCTTTTTTGGGGGCAGACCCCCTCAAAGAAAAAAAGATATTTACACACGTAAGGTCATCATCTTAACAGTTTATTATTCTCATCGATTCATCCGTGAGCAGAGCATCAAGTTGCCTATAACAGCTGAATGTGGCGATTACCATCTTGATCAGCAAAACGCCTCACAAACGATTTAAAGCTATGGTGCGTTTTGATTCAATGCTGAGTGCAGCCAAACTTGACCGGCTCTTCTCTGTCATCGTAGACCGCAAACAGTGGCGGAGTATTTCATTTGTGTTGGGTCATCTATGGTAGGGCTAACCCATACAGCGGTGGGGCTCAAGTCAGTATTTGCAATGTAATTACATACACGCTCCCCTTGACAGTGAAACGCCACGCGTGAGGGTTTGATTATTTCCCTGTCTCAATCCAAATTGAACTGTATGAAATAAAAAGGCACATTTGTCTTGTAGTAAATAAAAAGGGCGACCTGGAGCCAATCCTGCAACTTCCCCACAGGTGAAAGAGTTGACCTGCTGAAAACCCAACCCCTGCAGGGGGGTCTGGGAGATTTTTTGAAATACTAACATAAAATACACATTCTGGTACTCTCTTGAGAAGAAAATAAATACATCTATTACTACACGACATATTTAAAAAACATGAATGCCATTTTAGTTTTGTGTTACTTTGTTCTGAAAGCTGAACCTGCTGCTCCTCACAGAGAGAAGAGGAAGAGGCTGTGAATTACTTTACATTGTGGATAAGGGTGGATAGCCCCCATTGTTCTGTGTCAAAATGAAAGACAGCCCACACACCTATCAATCATCAAACCGTGGGGTCTTATTTCATTACGTGTTGATTTCTATCAACACGTAATATTGTATCGATGTATATAGAGATGTACTACAGCAAAAGTATTCTTCGTCGGGACTTCCTGCAACAACACCACGCCGTTATCTTGATTCTGATTGGCCAGAAGACATTATCAAAGATGTTCTATTGAGAAGACGATCACTACATGACAAAAGTTTTCACAACCGTTTCTAGTCTTCGGTATTTCCAGGCAAGTGGCTGAAATCAATCTGACTAACTGCTGTCTGTGCAGTTTACTCCGCGAGTTGGCAGAGTTTTTTTTGCTTACTTTAACATAATTTTCCATGGTGGGGCTAAGCCATTTCTACGCTCGCGCCAGGGCCGGGGGAGGGGTTACAAGGCTCGCGTCTTGTGCTGCATTCACTTGCACTCGGACATTAGAGATTTTCTCTCATAAATGTCCGATGAGCCACAACTTTTCTTTCAAAACAAAGCTGCCAAATGGGGTGGCAGCTGGGGTGGCAAGGCCTTTTTCTGAGGTGGCAGCTGCCACCCCGTGCCACCCCGTAGAACCGCCACTGACGATAATACAATATCATAACTTCAGACGTTACATCTGACAGGAAGTCCATCAAAACCTGTGAAGACACAAACACACTCTTTCAGAGAGACTTACCAAACAGAAGTAGTGAACAGAGAGCTTTGGTTCCTTCAGTGTGACTTTTTCCCCAAACAGTGCCGGGTCGTCATCGCTCTGTCTGCAGAGAACACAGCCTGCACAGACAGACAGCACAACCAGCTTCATCACACTGCCTATTGTACATCTCATATCCAATGAGAGCTCGATATGTCAGATAAAGAAAGGAACATGGATATTTCTAGGGATCATTTCTCTTCTGTGTGTGTGTGTGTGTGTGTGTGTGTGTGTGTGTGTGTGTGTGTGTGTGTGTGTGTGTGTCTGTGTGTATGTCTGTGTGTGTGTGTATGTCTGTGTGTGTGTGTATATATGTGTGTCTATGTGTGTCTATGTGTGTATGTATGTATGTGTATATATATGTGTGTGTATACATGTGTGTGTGTGTGTGTGTGTGTGTGTGTATGTATGTCTGTGTGTGTGTGTGTCTATGTGTGTCTATGTGTGTATATGTGTGTGTATATATGTGTGTGTGTATGTGTGTATGTGTATGTGTATGTGTATGTGTGTATGTATGTATGTATGTGTGTGTGTGTGTGTGTGTATGCGTGCGTGTGTGTGTGTGTTAGGGATAATCGATTATGGCAAAAATCATAATCTCGATTATTTGGGTCAATAATTGATATCACGATTATTAAAAACGATTTTCCATTTACTTTGAAAACATCAATTTATTGGAGAAAAAAAATGTAACAGTTGATTACCCTGAACTTTTAGTATAACTCAACTGAAAAAATAATAAAAAAATAATCGTTTTATTTTGATTACGTTGTTTTCGTAATCGTTGCAAGCCATAATCGTAATTGCGATTAAAATACGATTAATTGAGCAGCCCTAGTGTGTGTGTGTGTGTGTGTGTGTGTGTGTGTGTGTGTGTGTGTGTGTGTGTGTGTGTGTGTGTGTGTGTGTGTGTGTGTGTGTGTGTGTGTGTGTGTGTGTGTGTGTGCCTCACTTACACTCCTGGTCGATGCCCTCCACTTTGTGGTGCGACATCTTTGCTTTCTTCATGGCGTTGGTGGGAAGGATCTCTGCAGAGACACAGGCAGAGCACCAAGGGTCAGAGGTCAGAGGTCAAATATACTGAGCTTACCCAAACAGATTTATCATCACAAAAAAAAGAGTGAAGAAACCCAGAAGGCTCAATCTAAAAACGATTTTGTACGTCCATCTGTCTGTGTGGGGAAACAATCACAAACAGTGGGACAGTCAGAAAACATGGGGCGAAGCCTTCGATCTAGTTCAGGCAGTCAACTCGAGCACCAATCAGACATGAACACGTGACGCACCTCGTCCCTCTTACAACCTACCAAACACATTCTCCTAAACATGCCGCTCTATTTAAGCTGCCAGGTCTTCGTGCCTCTGCCTCGCTGCTGCGTTCATGTTCCTGCTGCTGTGTTTCATGTTGCTGCTGCTCCCCTGCCCCACCACCACCCCAGCTTCCACCTCAGCTTCCACCCCAGCTTCCATCCCAGCTTCCACCTCAGCTTCCACCTCAGCTTCCACCCCAGCTTCCACCCCAGCTTCCACCCCAGCTTCCACCCCAGCTTCCACCTCAGCTTCCACCCCAGCTTCCACCCCAGCTTCCATCCCAGCTTCCACCCCAGCTTCCACCCCAGCTTCCACCCCAGCTTCCACCCCAGCTTCCACCTCAGCTTCCACCCCAGCTTCCACCCCAGCTTCCACCCCAGCTTCCACCCCAGCTTCCACCTCAGCTTCCACCCCAGCTTCCACCCCAGCTTCCACCTCAGCTTCCAACCCAGCTTCCACCCCAGCTTCCACCTCAGCTTCCACCCCAGCTTCCACCTCAGCTTCCACCCCAGCTTCCACCTCAGCTTCCACCCCAGCTTCCACCCCAGCTTCCACCTCAGCTCCACCTCAGCTTCCACCCCAGCTTCCACCCCAGCTTCCACCCCAGCTTCCACCTCAGCTCCACCCCAGCTTCCACCCCAGCTTCCACCTCAGCTTCCACCCCAGCTTCCACCCCAGCTTCCACCCCAGCTTCCACCTCAGCTCCATCCCAGCTTCCATCCCAGCTTCCACCCCAGCTTCCACCCCAGCTTCCACCTCAGCTTCCACCTCAGCTCCACCCCAGCTTCCACCTCAGCTTCCACCTCACCTTCCACCCCAGCTTCCACCCCAGCTTCCACCTCAGCTTCCACCCCAGCTTCCACCCCAGCTCCCACCCCAGCTCCCACCCCAGCTTCCACCCCAGCTTCCACCCCAGCTTCCACCCCAGCTTCCACCTGTAGGCTCGGGGGATAGTTATCTAATCATCACTCAATGTTCTTTGTAAATCTGTGGAGCGATGAAGCCCGAGCCTAGACGCCAAACTCAAACTATGTGCTGCTTCTAATAAACATATTGAGAAACACGTGAGTTTTCTGACTGAACTATGTTTAAAAAGTGTGTATGTAACACATGTAATATTTGTATATGAATAACTGTTTTGGTGTTTATCAGTACTTAAATATAGCTCTTAGTTTAAGAGTCCTCCTTTCGTTATATTGTTTTGTGTGTTTGTTTAAACCAGCACCCATTTGGCCCTCTGCTTTTTGTTTATTAGACAACAGCTGTTTGTACACCTTCTAATTTGAGTCTCTCATTAAAACACTTTTCATTTTACATCAGGTTTTGTGTTGCTTCCCTTTTTCTCAACGAGCTGGGACGAAACACCTGCAGTGAATTATCGATTCATTTAATCGTTCACAAATAATCAACATTATGGAAATTAAATGTAAAATATGCTGTTGATAGAAAACATGGCACACACACACACACATTATCCCTGCAGGTCTCACACACACACACACACACACACACACACACACACACACACACACACACACACACACACACACACACACACACACACACACACACACACACACACACACACACACACACACACACACACACACACACACACACACACACACACACACACACACACACACACACACACACACACACACACACACACACACACACACACACACACACACACACACACACACACACACACACACACACACACACACACACACACACAAGAGAAAAGAATACTTGCATTAATGTCAATTCATGTTCTGTGGATTGAGTTTTTTTTTAATATATATTATTAACTAGTACTTATTACTACTATTATTTAGTCTTATACCCCGTTTATCTAGGCCCGGGGTATCTTGTTTTACTGTGGGACTGCGAGAAACGGTATTAAAGAGTTCTGTGTAACACATGGAGACATTTTGACAATAACTGACTTTGACTAAAAACAGAACTAAAAAGTTAAATATACAAATCTGTAGACTGTGTGACGAATAAACACTATGAAGGATATTATATATGCATGTACACGTAGACAATAAATATTGTTGAATATCAAAACCTGATGATATGTAATGAATAAAAGGCAATAAAGGAGAGCGTTTCGACAACAACACTAACCTTAGCTAACATACAACTGTCTGAAAGTCCTTCGTTAAATATCGGTCACCATATCACATATTCACGACAAAGTATTAAATGAATAAAAACATACTTCACATAGAATGTCAAATTGAGGCCATCTTCGTGCAGTTTAATGAGGATTTATTCCAGTTTTGTTTCTGATTATCCGTCCAATTTTTAAATTTCCCTCTTTCAAAACTAGTCACTTCCGCCTCCAGTGTTTCTTCTTCGGTGCTTTGAGTTGTTTTTGGTCAGCGCCCCCTGGTGGACGGTCGGTTAATAACAGGTGAATCATTTTGAGGTTTGGGGTTTTATGATATATTATGTGTTAATATTATGATTGTTGACACTTTAATTGAGTTTATCTTATCAGTAAGTATCAGTCCATAAATAATAACAAAGCATTTTATTGACAGACCTTTGAATGCTAGTTTGGTACGGCAGTGGCTCAGTCAGTAGGGGCTCGGACTGTGAGCCGTAGGGTCGCCGGTTCAAGTCCCCGAACAGACCTAAATATGGAGTATGGAGTGTGGACTGTTACTTGGAGAGGTCCCAGTTTACCTCCTGGGCCCTGTCGTGGTGCCCTTGAGCAAGGCACCGGACCCCCTTCTAATCAATTCAATCATTTAAATACTATATTATTTTATAATAATATAGTTGTAATATAGTCAAGACAAAACGTGCTTATGACATGCTCAAAAACTGATATTTCTTAAATCTGTATTGTATTGTATTGTACTACACACACATTTCTATCAGTATTTCTCTGTGTTGTGGTTGACATGATGATGACTGTTAGGAGTTAAGGGGAGAGGCTGAGCGTCACCATGAAATGTGCAAATTGACATAAAAATGAATAAAAGGGAAAAAATGCTCCATGTTTTTTAGGCTGTAAGCTTTAACTGTTATTTAAGCCAACTAGACAGACAGTTTATCACTCTTCCTCCTGTACATTAGCAGATAAAAGGCATCACATACTTGAATGAATGGTAAATAAAGAATGCTGGAAATAACTGCATCATTAGCCTGTATGCTCTGCAGAGACTGCCTTCTTCATGTCGTGAATTGCAGCTGATGTTTTAATATGGCAATTGGCAAAAGTTTGACATTTGACTTATACAACATTCGCAAGTTGTACATTTGACTCATACAATAACCCACCTTCGAGTGATGCTCAGTGCTTGAATTGGAATGAAAAAGGTGCCAGTACTCTAAAATCAGCAACTTTTTCAAGTAAATTTTATATATACAGCCCACAAACAAGAATTTGGCTACTATAATGCTGGTGGGTTAGTCTCTTTACTACTGTATATTTTAGAAAGGTTCACTGTACTTAACATTTGTTATGATAGGCAGCGGATATGGCTAAAGCTCAGTAAGGTCAATATTAACTGAAAATATAGCAATCAAAGTCTAGATCTTCTGCTGAAGACACATGAAGCAGAGACCTTTCAGGTGAGAGCCCCTCTGGTGGTGTTCAACATTAATGACAAGGAAACAAAGCTCTGGTCAGAAGCATTTTTTTATAAAAAGCTTTAACAAAATTAAGTATTTCTGTACATTTTGAATGCAATCTAACTTTCCAACTCAGAAAACGAAAAACGAAAAAGTGCCAAAAGTCTTCTCACATGGCTGAGCTGCTTTGCAATATACTTCACCACTGAAGAATACAAATATGTATAAAGTAAACTATGATGCAATCTAACTTTCCAACTCAGAAAAATGATAAAGAGCATGAACAAAGAACATGTAAAAAAACAAATGCAAAATTTGCACAATCTAAAATGAGAAACTGTAACTGCAAGTAACAAAGTCTGAGCCATGGTAAAGAGTTACATTGAACACCAAGCTGATCAGATAACTCCCTGGTTGGTCTGAAGTCCTTCTATCTCCAGGATCTGTACAAATCGGCACATTATGCCAAAAGTCTTCTCACTGGGTGAGCTGCTTTGCAATATACTTCACATTGTTAGAAAAGGCTCCAGAAGGCCTTGGGGACATCAGTATCAGGGGCTGGAGCTGGACAGGCTCTTTCATCAGCACTTCTCCTTCCCTTTGCCAGCCAGGACCTCACATACTGTTCCGGATTGAACTGTCCTAGTGATGGTCCATTACATTTAATGAAAACCAGGCTGGACAGTCGGCTGACAGAGAGAGCATTCCTTTTTGCAGTAAGGATATCGTTCATGCAGCTGAATGCCCGCTCACACTCACTAGTGGAGACAGCGATGGTTCGGACTGCTTTCAGTAGAGGCTCCATGGCAGCAGGTGTACGGGATGCCCTGGTTTCCTTGTATTCGCGAAAGCCCTGAACAGTCTCTCTTCTGTCCACTTTCAGCACTTCGCACAAACGTAGCACCTCTACGTCCCCATACTGTACGTCTAACTGCTCTTCAGGCCAACTTCCAGGATGGATAACTTTCATGTCCTGGATTAGCTGATTGTCCCGGGCCTCCCGGCCATGTAATGGGATTTCTCTTGTGCTGACATGAGAGGAGGTTGTGGAAGTCATTCTGTGTCTCAGATTCTCTACCATACTGCGGAAAAACTGACCTGCATGAATCTGTACAAGCCTGCCATTCTCACGCAGGGCAACACCCTTGAAGGACTTCTCAGCTAGAGCTGTATGAACTGTAGTCATGTGTGGGCCAGGCATGGTGACCATGGATTCAAAAACTCGTATTTCTCGAGTTAAGAGCCTATCTGCTGTAGGCAGTGTCATCTCTCTTTTTTGGAGTTGCCGAGAGAGGTCGCTGAGCTCTGTGAGCGCATCGTACATCAGTCCCAGATTGCTGACAAACGTTGCAGATGTGAGCACATCATCCAGGCCCTTGTACTTTGCTCTGTCTCTGGAATCCCTGCTCATGTCGTTTGCAGCATTTGTGAAGTGATCATGAAGCACTCGGTAGTTTTCCCAGACTGCTCTGACGCTCCTTTCACTTGAAGCCACCCAGCGGATGGACAAAACACGCCCTATCACCAGGAGACGCTGTCCGACTGCTTGCGCACACTGCGCTAACTGCCTCTGATTTTTGGGGGAGGCATGGAACAAGGAATAGAGTTTGTCAAAAAAGATCTGGAAATGATTGAGCCCTGAGACCTCCTTGACCACATCCCCAACTGCCAGCTCTAGACGATGATTGGAGCAGTGCCACACAAACAGGCTTGGGAATTTACTACACAACTGGGTAGCAACGCCTGTTCTCTTCCCTAGCATGACTGAAGCCCCATCACATGCAAAATAAACGAAACACTGACCTAAAAAGTCCTCGTTAAAATCTCTTCCAAGACACTCCATTAACGCCTTTGTGATGTCATCAGCCGTTGTTCCATCCAACTCGATCAGCTCCCAAAAAAACGTTTCGGGCTCAGCATCAGCTAATGCTGAGCGTAGACACACAACAAGCACCGTTTTACCACTAATAGTGGTAGATTCATCGACCAAAACACAGAGTTTTCTTTGGTTTTCTGTAATGTCTTTTGCCATTTTTTTCTTCAGCTCATGAGCTATGTGGTCGATGATTTCGCCACAGGTTTTATTGGAGTGCAAAACCCTGCCCACGTTCAGCCCATTCAGTTTCTGTACATTCAAATCAATTGGCATGTCTGTGAATGGCCGGCTATGTTTGCCAATTTTATATGCCGTTCGAAAAACTCTGATAGTGGTGTCTAATTCAGATTTATGCATAGACTGCACTTGATGTTGAATAGTTTCACGTGAAGCAGATGTAAGGATGTCAGCAGCTTTTACATGGGCTTGTGATTCTTTATGTTCTTTGATTTTTTTTTCTCAGGCTAGCTTGTTGTTTGCCCTTGTCAACACCGAAATGAGACACTGCACACTCACCCCATTCAGTTGACAGTTTCAGTCCTTGTCCAGTGTGTATTCCCAAAGATTTGACATCTCTGCATATCCGACATCCTAGCTTCTTATCTTTAAGAAGGAGCCATGCATTGGTCTTGCAAAAATATTGCACCTGGTCCGTTGTCCAGCAGTCAGGTGCATCGCTTTGCCCGGTGTTGGTGGTGGCAGTTGAGCCAGCAGCAGCTAACGTTAGAGGCTCTGGAGGAGGCGGCGGAGCTAGTGCTAATGCTAATGCACTAGAACTTGGAGCAGGAGGGTCAACCAAAGAAAGCTCCCCATCAGACACAATTTCCAACACAGGCACAGCATTCTCTGTATTTGAAGTTTCTTCCGGCGACAACCGCTGTCTTTTTGCACTTTTATTAATCCACGCTAACATTTTAGAAATGCTAATTTGTGACGTTACTTGCTTTCCTTCTTACGGGGGCGTGCCTGCTCTGTTCTATCACTCTACATAGCCACCCACTGGGTGGGAGTTGCACTGCATAAACACAACACACGTGCATCTAGGTATGTAAATTGTAAAGCATTAAAACATGGTTTTACTAACAGTTTTCAGTATGTTGTTACTTCGGCATTATTATTATTACTATTATTATTATTATTATTATTTTGAAACGTGTATTACTATTAAATCACGGTCAAATAGGTTAATTTTGACATAGTCGTTTCCACCACAGTATTTACATGGAGAAGATAAGCCCCGCCCCCTCTCCAGCACGTTCTGTTTGAATGACAGGAGTAAACAGCTGACAGCCGCTGTGAAACTCCAGCGGTTAGAGCGATGAGAATGTCCGTTCGGCACCTCATGACGCATCTACTGAGTACCGGGCGGCTGTATATATATATATGGATGTATAATAAGAACGGCGGGAGAGTGTTGAGTACTGGCACGGTGCATGAGTACCGGAGTACCGCCAGCATGCCGGTACTGAGCAAGAAGTGCCGGTACTCCATGAGTCAGAACCAGAAGTGCCGGTACTGCGTACCGGTGAGTACCGGCCCAATTCCAGCACTGGTGATGCTCTAGTTTCTTCATGTTTTGTTTTTTTCCCCTCTTGCTTGCGCCGGACTGAAAACTGTCTTTTCGCCGACATCTCTTCGCCTGCACTAGTGGCCGTATCAAAGCCGTGATTGGTCAGATATCGATTCATTGCAACGGTGTCGGGTTACAGACGTGCTCCCCTTAGCCGCGTTCACACCGGAGTACTTTCACCCGTACTTTTCCCCTTTAGTTCCGTTAGTGCCAGTGCCCGTTGCGTTCACACCAAAAGGTTCACTTGGTTCAGGGCACTTTCAGCCCCATGTTTAGTGCCTGCTAGAGAGGTGGTACTCTCCTGGGGGAAAAAAACAACGCCCCGTAAAACTCTGAAATGTTTTGTAGAGCCGCCATTTTATTATCCTCGCATTAGCATTAGCATTAGCCCAGCGCACAAACGCAGAGAGACTAACTTATGGCAGCACAAAAGAAAACATGGGAGTGGTGGAGTAACGGCCCGTCCACACAGCGGCGTGCGTTGAAGCTTGCCAGCGGACGTGTCTGAAACTCGACCAACAACCAATCACATGAATCTCCCGCCCCTGACACACAAGCAGCGGTTTGATTGGCTAGAGCTTGTACTGGCATATGATTGGATTGGCTGACGCATCTGCCGAGGCTTCAAAAGTTGAACATTGCTCAACTTTTGCAGCGAGCCACGCCAGCAAAGCTCCGCGTCGCTTCCCGCAATGCAGTTCGGCGAAAAGTGACGTCACCCCATTCAAAGTGAATGGTGAAGCGTCAACGCACGCCGCTGTGTGGACGGGCAATGAGGATGTGTCTGCGTTCTGGCGATTTACTCGGAAAGCCATTCTCCAACTCCGAGGACTTCCGGCCGGAGAAGAAGTGACGTCAGAGGCTTCATTTGCGTAATCTTCCCTCAGGGAAGTACTCCGGTGTGAACGCGATCTGTACTCAGTGCCCCATGGGCCTCAGGTTAGCTAACAGTTAAAGGCGAGTACGGCAAATAAAAGTTTTAACAAGCAGTAGTGCTGAGCAAAGTGGCTAGAAGGCAACCACACAAAAAAACACACTTTATAAAGTCAGGCACCACTAACCAGGCTTCGTGTGATTCTGTTTATTTGCACCTTACTTTGACCATCCGTTCGCTGTTATTGATCATTGTGGAGAGAGGCAGACGTGTTGTTTTGTATTAGAGCAGCTATCGGATGGAATCAATACATGGGCTGAACAGGTTGTCATGTCCAACTATCACAGAATCATAATGAAAAATACGCCGGTAAAATGTGCCTGTAGAAAACGGCTTATGCCACAATAGGATAGCAACAAGTAGTCAAGTTATAGTCAGTTTAGCTTCGGTTGCTATGCAAACATCACCCATTTCAAACCAGAGAAACCACTGAAACGGCAGCACCAGTCGGGCTCTGAGCGGTGTGAACAAAACGGGAGCTGCAAAGAAAAACCGGTTCTGAACCAGAAGAGCTCCAGCACGGAGCTAGAACGGGAAAAGCCTTGGTGTGAAAGGGGTAAGAGTGAAGAACTGAATCAACAAAGTGATCTGAATCTTAATCTTAAAGGAGTCTTGTATTTTATTGCACTGAACACATTTCTTTAAAAGAGTTAATGTTCCATAACGTCATGGTTTGATAAATGCCTGGAATATCATTCAGTTTTGGTGGGGACAGTTTCCTAGAGTTAAATGGGTTCACATTTTTAAACAGATGTGCCACATACTTATAACTCCTCCACTACAACCTTTATACCATGAATCCGCCCTTTGGACTGAGACACCCCCTGAGTTACATGAGAGGAAACAGAGTTCAGCAGAGGAAGTCAGACAGAGCTCCTCCCTCACTGAGAAGTGAAACCAGGAAACAGTTTGTTCTTCTTCCTCACTGCAAAGAGACAGACGGACTGAAAGACAGACGATCAGATTCACCTTCAGACCAAACTAACAACTTCCTCTGAGTTCAGCTACAGGAGAGAAAAGTGGAAACTACAACCCTGCTGCGTCAACCTGCGGACCCTCCACCCCCTGAAGGTGAGTCTCCAAACATCACTCAAAGTGAATTTCAGTGAAGTCAGTAGAGGAGGGGGAGGGGAGCCGTGACTGACTGAACTTCCTGTCTGCTGTGTTTCAGCTTCACTCAGAGACAACATGGCTTCCAGGTTAGAGGAAGATCTCTGCTGTCCGGTCTGTAAGGACGTCTTTAGAGATCCTGTCATCCTGTCCTGCTGCCACAGCTTCTGTAAAGCCTGTCTGCAGACCTGGTGGACGAGGAAAGAAGTAAAGGATTGTCCAGTTTGTAGGAGAACATCTTCAAGTATAAATCCCCCTCGTAATCTGTCTTTAAAGAACCTGTGTGAGGCCTTCTCACTGGAGAGAGGTCAGAGATCTCCAGAGGCTCTCTGCAGTCTGCACTCTGAGAAGCTCAGACTCTTCTGTCTGGACCATCAGCAGCCAGTGTGTCTCGTCTGCAGAGATTCAAGAACACACAAAAACCACAGATTCAGACCCATGGATGAAGCTGCTCAGGATCTCAGAGAGGAGCTCCAGAAAGCTCTGCATCCCTTAAAGAAGAAACTGAAGCTCTTTGAAGAAGTTAAAGTGAAGTTTGATCAAACAGCAGGACACATGAAGGTCCAGGCTCAACACACAGAGACGCAGATTAAGGAGCAGTTTAAGAAGCTTCACCAGTTTCTAGAAGAGGAAGAGGAGGCCAGGATGGCTGCACTGAGGAAGGAAGAGGGGCAGAAGAGGAGGATGATGGAGGAGAAGATGGTGGCTATGAGCAGAGAGATAGCAGCTATTTCACACACAGTCAGAGCCACAGAGGAGGAGCTGAGAGCTGAAGACGTCTCCTTCCTGCTCAACTGCAAGGCTGTAGTGGAGAGGCTGCAGCGCCCCCTGCTGGAGGACCCACAGCTGCCCTCAGGAGCTCTGATAGACCAGGCCAAACACCTGGGCAACCTCAGCTTCAACATCTGGAGCAAGATGAAGAACATGGTGTCCTACTCTCCTCTCATCCTGGACCCAAACACTGCTCATCCAAGACTCATCCTGTCTGAAGATCTGACCAGAGTGAGACAAGGAGGATGGAGACTTCCTAATAATCCAGAGAGGTTTGATAAATACCCCTCTGTCATGGGCTCTGAGGGCTTTAACTCAGGGACTCACAGCTGGGATGTCCAGGTTACAGGCAGTACATTCTGGTTTCTGGGTGTGTTAGCAGAGTCTGTCCAGAGGAAGGGAGTCATACTGTCTGGATTATGGAGAATATGTTTCTGTAAAGGTAAATACTCAGCATGGTCACCATCAGTTCCAGAAACTGCTCTCCGCCTGAAGAAGAAGCTCCAGAGGGTCAGAGTTAATCTGGACTGGAACAGAGGAAAGTTGTCGTTCTCTGATCCTGACACTAACACACACATACACACCTTCACACACACTTTCACTGAGAGGATGTTTCCATACATTGGCACTGTGGGTGTAGTGAACATATTACCACTGAAGGTGTGTGTGACAGTGGATCAGAGAAGGTAGAGATAAACAGGATCATTATACCTATGATGTTTATCTCTTAAAGCAGGCGTGTGTATCTTTCTGGGTCTGTATAAGGATCAGCTCCTTCTTACATCCAGGCCTCGGTTAAACCATATTCTCCATCACGTTCACTTCTCTCGACGTCAGCCAATCAGATTGCTGCTCCCTCACTGAGAGTGGGATCCAGGTACCCCCCCAAAACACACCTAGCGGTGGTGAGGTGAAATCAGGGTTAATGTTATAATTATTACATTTAATTCATACCCAGCTAGAAATGTTTGTTGTTAACATTCACTCTTCCAGGAATGTTTTCAGCGGGAAGTTTTCTTTTGGTTTCCAGAATGTTCTTCTGAAGGGTAGGATAGCGTTCTCTAACAACATTCTTAAAATATTTTGTGATGACCTTCTTCAGATGTTTTTGATAATATTGTTCGAACATTATGCCCTACTATTCTTAAAACGTTTTCAGCGTCTTGTGCTGCATTCACTTGCACTCGGACATTAGGGATTTTCTCTCATAAATGTCCGATGAGCCACAACTTTTATTGCAAAACAAAGCTACCTACTGGGATGGCAGCTGGGGTGGCAAGGCTATTTTTTAGGGTGGCAGTTGCCACCCCATGCCACCCCGGTAGATCCGCCCCTGACTCCCCCTGCTGGTTATACTACAATAATACATTTCTTTGAAGTTATGAAGAAAATGCTTTGGGTTTATAAAAAATAGCATTTATTCGTTTTTTTATGTTATTGTTATAATTAGTTTTGATGGTCTTTTCTTTTGTTAATTTTGAATAAAAAAAATTATTTAGTAATTACATTAATTTGTATCACCTTCTTGTGTTATATATATATATTTGTATGTGTTATTTCTTTTTAAAACATGTTGTATTTGTAATTATCTTTATTTTAAATTGCTATTATATATTCTTTTTCAAGTTTGTTTTTATTATGTTATTGTATTATAAAAAAATACATTAAAATGTATTAAAAAAAGTGTTTTTATTATTTTGGTTATTTAATTTTCTAGTATATTTTATAATTGTTTTAATGTACATTTAGATAGTTAATTTTGAAAATAAATATTAAATGATTAACATCTGTGTGTACGTTTTCTTTGTGTGCTTGCTTTATTGTTATGTGTGGCTGCCGTGTTTTAAAACTGATCTAAAAGAAGAAAATAATCACACAAAACCTTTGTTTAATTAATTTAAAACTTAACTGGTCTATTTCAATTTAAGTTAGAAAATACTTTACCATTATTACTCTGATTATTATTTGTAGGTCATGTAGAGCAGAGGGTCCTTTTTCTGTAGGTGAGTAAACCTGAGTGCATCAGAACAATCAGACTGTATGAACACAACACACACACACACACACACACACACACACACACACACACACACACACACACACATACTGTGTTATGATATTCTTTAATAGTTACTGGTGATATTATGCAGCATTCATACAAATCAGTACAACATATATATTGGAAAAAGAAAGTGTGGTTCAGAACAAGTATCCCAGCTAGCGGGGAACGTTCCTACAACTTTGGCTAACATTACCTACAGGTTCTAATAATGTTTTAAAGAAACGTTTTAAGGATGTTTATTATTTCAAATAAGGTTTAAGGTTAACTAAGACATAACGTTTTAACTGCAACATTCAGAGGATGTTTTCAGGATGTTATTGAGGTCTGAGATGACAGAAAGTGTTTTATAAAACGTTCCTTTCATGCAGTGTTTCTCAAACTTTTTCATACCAAGGACCACTTAACCAATAAAAAAACACTCGCGGACCACCTAACTCCACAAATATCCAAAAACACATCGTTTTTTACAAATCGCCTGAAAATGGTACAAACAAGTGGCAACATGTGTGATGAAGGTGTTTATCTGGGCTATATCATGCAATCGAAAGTGAAACTTAAGCTCGCTCCATTGCGGAGATATTCCCGCGAGAGTGCGGAAAACTTTAATTAATTAATTAATTAATTAAAAATGTGAAATTTTACCAATAAACTCACGGACCACTAGGGGGCGCTCACAGACCACCAGTGGTCCGCGGACCACACTTTGAGAAGCACTGCATAATGTGATATGTTAACAAAGGTGGAACGTTTTGCCTGCAACATTATAAGGATGTGTTTTGGACGTTGTTGGGTAACACATTAAAGATGTTCTTTATAAAACGTTCCCTCAATGTTACCTGATAACCAAAGAAGAACATTCTCCAAGAAACATTCTGAAAATGTTTTCAGGATGTTATTTTTTTTAATAAAACGTTCCTGTGATGGCAAATATTAACACGGTCATGGTCAACGTCAGATTTATTTCTAGAGCGCTTTAAAAAACAAACTTTTGTTTGAAAAGGATGTTTTAAAAAATCACACCACATTTTCCTTTTGAAAAAAATAAACACGCACGTAATTCATGATAAGCTGTAAGCAGATATTGCATGTTTGCGGTGGCATGTGTGAGTTCCCAGCTAGACATGTTTGGTTCTCAAACAATTCTGAGAATGTTACCTTTCATTGTTCTATGTTTTCAGCGGGACGTTTTATTTTGGTTCCCAGAATGTTCTTCTGAAAGGTAGGATAACGTTCTCTAAAAACATTCTTAACATGTTTGGTGATAACCTTCTTAAGATGTATGAGCGCATTGAGACAATGAATAGGACGTATACAAACGAATTTTAAGAACAGTAGGGCATAATGTTCTAACGATGTTATGAAAAACATCTTAAGGTTATCAAAAACATCTTAAGAAGGGAAACGTAAACAAGTAAGTAATTAAGTAAACAAAATAAATAATTTGATTCTAGTGGAAGCTACGTAATTCAAGTGTATCCATCCCAGGATCTAGTAACTAGCAACTAGCAACATTTAGTTATTTAGTATTTCATCGTTATCTACTCAACTCAACACTGTCTTGTTTTTTTCTCTCATCTTCATCTTTTTTCTTCTTCCTTTTTTCGCCTCCAGAAAGATAATTTATCTTCATTTTTCAGAGCCTTTCCTTGTCATCAGGATTATTTTGTAAACAATCATGCACGCGATTTACGATACTGACCGGAGTGAGCCTGGATAAGGTGGGGCCCCCATTAGGGAGGTCTCCTACTGTCTGTCATTGCAAACGTTGCGCACTGACTCACTCAAATTCAGTTCATCTACAATAATGGGGCCCCCACTATTGTAGATTAACTGAATTTGATGAAGGCTTATGGCAATGTATGATGTTTAATTGTATTTTTTGTATAATTTGTTGTTCTGAATTTTGCATTAAAAAAACAACAACAAAAAACGACACTGATGTCGTTTTAAAGATGTGTCCCCCCTCGGGGGACCCCTACTGGTCTGGGGCCCCAAGCAGTTGGCTGCCTTTCCTGTCCGCAAGCGGCAGCCCTCTGGGTGCTCATCCTAAATGTCGGCTCTGATGTAACGATATTCATAATTAAGTAAATGTAACACCCTTTTCACCCCGGTTACACGTTTCATTTGCCCTGTACGCTGTAAGTGATGAAAATGGGGAATGTTTGCTTATCTGGCGCCCGCAGCTCACAGCCAAAATGCGAGTGAGCGTGGGAGCGAGCGAGGGAGAGAGGCAGAGAGGCAGAGAGGCAGAGAGGCAGAGAGGCAGGTCCGGATCCGGTCAGAACTGCAAATCAATCCGGACCGAACCCTGTGTCCCATTATTAAAAAATAAGAATAATTATAAAAAATAATAATAATAATTTCTGATTCTGATGTAAATTAAAGTGGACCTATTATGCTATATTGGAAACATATATTGTAGGGCCATACCTATACAAAACATGTCTGTGAAGTTTTTTGCTTAAAATACCAAACAGTTCACCCATTTTGTAGCCATGCCTCATACTACTCACACCCCTCTTTTGCAGCCCTGTTAGAGAAACGCGGATTTTGGGTCCTTAGCTTGACAAAAAAGAGGAGGCGGAGCTAATGCCTGATCAGAATCCTACCGGAGATAAAGTTAAATTCTGCTGTGATAAAACGCCATCCTGTTTAAACCAGGTCAAGGATTATTTCTGAAACAGTATGGAGCTCAAATGCTTTTTCTCTTGCGGGTTTATCACAAGGTGAGTCCCTTTTTTTATTTCCTGCTTTTTAAACACATATGCTCTCCAGCACAGGTTAGCTCTGAGTGTTAGCAAGGCTTGCTAATGTAAACAAAGACGAGATTACGTCCAAAACACGTCAGGCATTTCTGATAGCAATTTTCTGTGGGTCCGCTGCCGATTTGACGTCAGATCCGCAGCAAATCTGTATCTGCTCGTTGTACCCCTATTTTTAAAAGATTTGGGTACAGAGGAAAAGAGAGAGGGTTTTATTTTCTGACGCTGCCTGAGTTCCCCGACACACCGGGGACACATATTTATGTATAAAAGACATCACAAAGTGCATTTTGATGACCTGGAAATTATTGAAGCAATATGCTCATTTTCCGATAAAGATCTGAATATAAAATATTTAGAGTATTAAAATACAATAAAAAGAGGTGTGTCCTAAGTGTAGTTATTTGACCCAGCACTGATTTTGAGTGATTAGGTCACATGACCTGGAAGGTATTGAAGCAATATGCTAATTTCCCCATACAAATATTAATATAAAAACTATTTAGAGTATTAAAATGCAATAAAAAGAGGTGTGTCCTATGCAGACAAATGTAGTTATTTGATCCAGCACTGATTTTGAGTTATGTCACATGACCAAGCAGTTATTGAAGAAATATGCAAATGTTTCCATCAAAATATTAATCAAACCTATTTAAAGTATTAAAATGCAATAAAAGAGGTGTGTTCAATAAATGTATGCTCTGAATTTGCTTCACATTCACACGATCGGGAAGCTGTCGATTTATTAAAAAGAACATTTTTCTTGTGTAATTGTAAAAGTCATTTTTTGATGGTCCCTAAGTGAAAGCCTCGTTTCCCGGAGAAGATCTCCCCGTCGAATATCCAACCTAAAACTTCACCGCGGTACTTATTATAGAATGACTGTAGTAAAGAAACTGAGTTTACACTTCCAAAACTCACAGGAAATTATCATATCTAAAATGTATAGGTAGGGTAGTGGTGGTCTAATATTGGATAGTGAGGTGGGCTGAAGATCGGAAGGTTGCGAGCTCAAATCCCGACTGGAACACCACCACTAATATGCCCTTGAGTAAGGCACTTAGCCCTCAGTTACTCCAGGGAGAATGTCCCTGTATGGTAATTGTAAATCACTTTGTATAAAGGCGTCAGCTAAATGCAATGTAATATTGTAATGTAGCCTATGCCTAAGCATCAACACAATCAAATTGATTCCAAAAATATCAAAAACTATGGTGTTGTCTATATATTTTGGATTTTCCTCCTTATTGTCTTAAACTGTTTTATATTCGCAGAATATGGGGCACTACACATTCCCTCGGGGCTAAACACATTTGTATTTTATTAATTTGATCTTAAAGTTGGTTTTAGACCAAAATGTCCACTCGTCTGTCTCTCTCTGTAGCTGTTGCCATGGAGACGGATCTCAAACACACACACACCACTGACGGTTGCAGCGTAAATAAAGTCCGACAACTTGATCCCTAAAGTAAGTTTACGTTATTAATTTAACCTATTTTATACAGGCTATGTGTTCTACACAAGGTGACGCTATTAAAGCCTGATCAACGTTTTGTCTTGGGTGTTACATTTACGTCAAAGGGAGACGATAAAGACTGTTTTTACTTTAGCTCACCTTGGCTAAATTAGCATTGTTTTTAAGGCTAGGCTAGCTAATGCTAATGGTAAGTACCAAAACAACAGTGGAGATTGTACATGTCCTACATTCAAAATATAAGTATATTACCTCCTTATGTCCCTTGACATGTTTTTATGCTCCATGTGTGAAAAAAGGTTTTAACATTTGACCTGAAGTGAATGTATTGTTCTCTGTTTTAATTTGTTCTATGTTGTTGTTGTTGTTATTATTAGGATCAAAATGTAGGCTACTTAAACTACCAAAACACCTTATGCAGAAGGCCCATTGCAGAATATCACAAGTCATGTTATTGTATTATAATTGTGTATACATTCATGTGTTCATCACTTCAAGGTTGAGTCTTATGTATTATTGTTTGAAGAATGAGTGACTCCCTCACTGCCCCTGTTTCACACATAATCCCTTACTGCTGAACCAGAGGAGGAAGAGGAGGAAGAAGAAGAGTAATCATGCCGAAGAAAGCCAAGAAAGGTGGAGCAGGAAAAGCTGTAGGAAAGACGGAGGAGGAGAGGCTGATGTTCCTGCAGCAGAGAGCTCAGGCTGAGGAGGAGATGAACCGGAAGAAGGAGGAGGTCCTCACCCTGTTCCTGAAGGTAACTCATTTATATTCCTATTTATTAATCACTCAATGTTCAGAGTTATTAGAATAATTAGAACTCACTTTAGTTCATAAACTCAAAAAGAAGGATTGGAAAATGTATGTAGTGTAACGCAAAATGTAACTTTTTTTGTTGAACATTTTATTTATTCCACAAATATATAACATACATGGAGATGTACATACAAATTCATCCACAAAAAACACACTGGACGCTGCACTAGGTCAGAAACCAGAGGAGACTGTGAAGTCCACTGCAGACGGACCACTTTTGGACAAAATGTCCTCTCCGTTAAAGGCAGCTCGTTGTGGAATAGCCTCCCAACTGAGATACGGGATCGTCCCACTCTCAATAGCTTCAAAGGTCAACTCAAAGAATGGATGAGAAACAACCAGACGTGCAATCACCGCTAAATGCACTTTAACACAGGGGTATCTCCTCTTGCACTTTATGTATCTCTTGTGTCTTCTCTGCACTTTACATGTCGTAGCTGCTATAGTGTATTACCATGTCATAAATACTTGTGTATGCTGCTCTTGCTCTTTTGCACTTTTTGCATATCATGTATTTATTTGTTGATATGTGTATAATTGTCATGTTCTTAAATGTTTTATGTGAGGGACTGCAGATGGAAATGAGCTCAAAGCTAAAATCCGGCAGTGCAGTGTGAGATGTGAATAGTTCAATTAAAAGCAGCGGCAAAAAGAAAAGTCTTCAGCCTGGATTTAAAAGTAGTCAGAGTCGCATCCTTAGATATCTAAACACCTTGTTTTCTGTCTGGTGATCAGGACAAGCTGCAGAAGGAGGAGAGGAACGCGGCGGTGAACCTCCTGAAGCTGAACGAGGGCTGGAGGTCCGTCCTGCGTCAGACTCGAGCCTCCGAGCTGCGGAAAGACCTGACGGTGCTCAGCCAAACGTTTGAGAGGCAGCTGGACGGCCTGGACAGCGTCGTCAAGGTGAGACGCCCTCCTCATGACCTCACTTCCTGTCAGAGATGGCAAAAGTACACACATCCTTTACTCAAGTAGAAGTTCAGATACTTGTGTTTAAAAATACTCTGGTAAAAGTAGAAGTACTGACTAAACTTCTTTACTCAAGTCAAAGTAAAGAGGCTTTGAAATGTACTTCAGTAAAAAGTACCCATAGCTAGCAGCTGCTTTAAAGAGTACCTGACCTCCCTTTATATTAATAGAACAATAATGTCATTGTTTGCTAATGAATGTTTCCATGCTGAACAACGGCAACATGACAACGTTTCCATTGGTCCCTCTTCTTTAGAGAAGACCAGGAAATGATGGATACACGGATCGTGTTCAAATCAATAGGCACGCAATGACTCTAAAGAATAATGATCACGCACCAAACACACATTCAGACTAAAGCAGGGGTACTCAAATACAAATCTTAAAGGTCCAAAATAAATGTTTCAATAAGACAAAGGTCCGTTTATTACGGTCATTCAAACTTTTAAACAATTGCAACAAGATTCTTAACACGAGGTTGCAAAAACAAAAATAATCTGTATGCAGCAGTTTTCATTGTTATTGTGTCTGTGCTTGACCCCTCAGAGTCGCAGTGTAAGAGCTGCACAGTTATGAATAAAGGCAGCTGCACCCTCTTTCATTCAGAATTCCCATTATTGCTTTATAAATGTATTCCCCCTTGTCTGTCCACTGAGGTTCGTCAGGCCCAACACATCTTCAACAAACTCCCCCTTTGCCTCATCATAACAACTCACAAACACCAGCAACTGAGCATTGTCAGTGGTGTCAGTGGACTCACCCACAGCTAAGGAAATGCACTGTGCATTTTTTATTCCATCACAAAGCTGATGAATCAAATCACCAGCCAGTATTTATGTTCTTCTGGTTGCTGTGGAATCTGAGGGGATTTGCTTGATTTGGCCTGTTATTTCCTCTTTTTGTTTGCCTTCAACATGGTCGCCATCACTTCAGTCATGCATTCTTTTATACTGCAGTTATTATCCAGTGGAAAGTCCTTACCTACTGGCCTAGTTCAATCAAAGTGGTTACTTTCTGTTGGCTGGGCAGTGTAGTTTTACACACCGTCTGATTTGACTTTCTCAGGACTTAAAACAGTTTTTTGGGGGCAGACCCCCTCAAAGAAAAAAATATATTTACACACGTAAGGTCATCATCTTAATAGTTGTGTATGCTCATCCGTGAGCAGAGCATCAAGTTGGCATGTATATTACAGCTGAATGCGGCGATTACCATTTTGTTCAGCAAAACGCCTCACAACGTATTAAGATCAACAGCTTTAGTGCGTTTTCATTCAATGCTGAGTACAGCCAAACTGACAGTCTCTTCTCTGTCAGTGTAGACCGCAAATACCTCATTCCTTCAGCGCTTGGGTCCGAATGCTTCTCGTTTTGCGCCGTCCAGTTCAAAATGAAATGGCCGCCAATCGTATGTCCACGCTCGCGCCAGGACCGGGGGAGGGGTTACATGACGTGCATCTTGTGCTGCATTCACTTGCACTCGGACATTAGAGACTTTCTCTCATAAATGTCCGATGAGCCACAACTTTTCTTTCAAAACAAAGCTGCCAACTGGGGTGGCAGCTGGGGTGGCAAGGCCTATTTTTAGGGTGTCAGTTGCCACCCCAGTAGGTGAAACTAGGCTACTAGCTACAGTACAGATGGAACTAGATGAGCTGTTAACTCTCGCTCTGAATTTTTTTTTTTTAATTCTCGCTCTGACTTAGACAGGTTGAAAGAGACACACACATTTTTCCCACCCGTAGTCCGCGAAGACCCGCCCTACTGTGCCTCTGATTCGCAGATTGTTTGGGGGGAAAAAACGCTGACTGGATGCTGAATGTGATTGGACCAAAGCGTTGACACACACAGGTGGAACACAGTGGAACAGTCAGACATGCAGAGCGCTGTTTGCAGTGGACATAGCGGAGAATTTTGACTCGTTGCGAATGCGTTGTGGCGATGTCTCACATATAATACAGAGAGATAATACATATGAAAAGTATAATTTGCTCAGAGTCCGGAGACAGTGGTGGTTCGGTCCGGATCCGGACCGGAGTCCGTAGTTTGAGGATGCCTGGACTAAAGGAACCAGCTGTTTGGGAAATGAGAGAAGTAGAAAGTACAGGTATTTGAGTTCAACATGTAAGAAGTAGAAAGTACAGGTATTTGAGTTCAACATGTAAGAAGTAGAAAGTACAGGTATTTGAGTTTAACATGTAAGAAGTAGAAAGTACAGGTATTTGTGTTCAACATGTAAGAAGTAGAAAGTACAGGTATTTGTGTTCAACATGTAAGAAGTAGAAAGTACAGGTATTTGAGTTCAACATGTGAGAAGTAGAAAGTACAGGTATTTGGGTTCAACATGTAAGAAGTAGAAAGTTCAGGTATTTGTGTTCAACATGTAAGAAGTAGAAAGTACAGGTATTTGAGTTCAACATGTAAGAAGTAGAAAGTACAGGTATTTGTGTTCAACATGTAAGAAGTAGAAAGTACAGGTATTTGAGTTCAACATGTAAGAAGTAGAAAGTACAGGTATTTGGGTTCAACATGTAAGAAGTAGAAAGTACAGGTATTTGAGTTCAACATGTAAGAAGTAGAAAGTACAGGTATTTGGGTTCAACATGTAAGAAGTAGAAAGTACAGGTATTTGTGTTCAACATGTAAGAAGTAGAAAGTTCAGGTATTTGTGTTCAACATGTAAGAAGTAGAAAGTACAGGTATTTGAGTTCAACATGTAAGAAGTAGAAAGTACAGGTATTTGTGTTCAACATGTAAGAAGTAGAAAGTACAGGTATTTGTGTTCAACATGTAAGAAGTAGAAAGTTCAGGTATTTGTGTTCAACATGTAAGAAGTAGAAAGTACAGGTATTTGAGTTCAACATGTAAGAAGTAGAAAGTACAGGTATTTGGGTTCAACATGTAAGAAGTAGAAAGTTCAGGTATTTGTGTTCAACATGTAAGAAGTAGAAAGTACAGGTATTTGAGTTCAACATGTAAGAAGTAGAAAGTACAGGTATTTGTGTTCAACATGTAAGAAGTAGAAAGTACAGGTATTTGAGTTCAACATGTAAGAAGTAGAAAGTACAGGTATTTGGGTTCAACATGTAAGAAGTAGAAAGTACAGGTATTTGAGTTCAACATGTAAGAAGTAGAAAGTACAGGTATTTGGGTTCAACATGTAAGAAGTAGAAAGTACAGGTATTTGTGTTCAACATGTAAGAAGTAGAAAGTACAGGTATTTGGGTTCAACATGTAAGAAGTAGAAAGTACAGGTATTTGTGTTCAACATGTGAGAAGTAGAAAGTACAGGTATTTGGGTTCAACATGTAAGAAGTAGAAAGTACAGGTATTTGAGTTCAACATGTAAGAAGTAGAAAGTACAGGTATTTGGGTTCAACATGTAAGAAGTAGAAAGTACAGGTATTTGGGTTCAACATGTAAGAAGTAGAAAGTACAGGTATTTGTGTTCAACATGTGAGAAGTAGAAAGTACAGGTATTTGTGTTCAACATGTAAGAAGTAGAAAGTACAGGTATTTGGGTTCAACATGTAAGAAGTAGAAAGTACAGGTATTTGAGTTCAACATGTAAGAAGTAGAAAGTACAGGTATTTGGGTTCAACATGTAAGAAGTAGAAAGTACAGGTATTTGGGTTCAACATGTAAGAAGTAGAAAGTACAGGTATTTGAGTTCAACATGTAAGAAGTAGAAAGTACAGGTATTTGGGTTCAACATGTAAGAAGTAGAAAGTTCAGGTATTTGGGTTCAACATGTAAGAAGTAGAAAGTACAGGTATTTGTGTTCAACATGTAAGAAGTAGAAAGTACAGGTATTTGGGTTCAACATGTAAGAAGTAGAAAGTTCAGGTATTTGGGTTCAACATGTAAGAAGTAGAAAGTACAGGTATTTGTGTTCAACATGTAAGAAGTAGAAAGTACAGGTATTTGTGTTCAACATGTAAGAAGTAGAAAGTACAGGTATTAGTGTTCAACATGTAAGAAGTAGAAAGTACAGGTATTTGAGTTCAACATGTAAGAAGTAGAAAGTACAGGTATTTGTGTATTATGTTGATGTAGAAGAGACATGAAGAAGAGGGGACACATGGTGATGTAGAAGAGACATGAAGAAGTGGATTTTGCATAATAGGTGACCTTTAAGTACAGTAACGAAGTATCTGTACTCCTCTCCTCCCCCCCCCCACTTCCTGTCTCTGTCTCTGTGCCTCAGACCCTGGAGCGCGACCTCCAGGCTGCGGAGCGTCAGTCGGCTCAGGTGCGGCGCGTCCACCTGCAGCACCTGGAGCAGCTGTGGGCGCAGCAGCACCAGCAGCTGGAGGTGGAGCAGCAGCAGTGGGAGAGCGTCCTGCAGCAGCTCACCTCCAGGTTCAGCTCCGACAGGTCAGTGTGCCCAGCCTGAGGTTAAAGGTCAACTCTGTGTCTAACGCTTACCCTCCCATTGGCCCTCAGCAGAGGCGTAAGAAGTAAAAAGTGGAGAAATTACATATCCCAAAGACGACCATCTCTTGTTTGGCTGTGCTTCTATACACCGTCTGAATGTATGTGTGTGTTTGTATGTGCATATATGTGTGTATGTATATGTATGTAGGTATGTGTGAATATGTATATATGTGTTTTTGTGTGTGTGTGTGTGTGTGTGTTTAAGTACATAGATACATAGATATTTGTCATTTCAAACAACCCCTATGTAATGGCAATTTCCTGTTCCTATGTCCTATATATTTTTGCCGTTACTTCACAGAAGGGCTGAAGAGTGATCCAGACGCAGACACAAACAGATGATTTCCGGTCCTTTGTTGAAGTTTATAATGTTGTTTATTCAGCTTTACATACCAGGGTTAATTGTACAGTTCTAGTTGTTGTGATGAGCATCTGCCGGGCTGCTGGAATCGGTATGCTCTCTCCTTCTGTGTCCCTCTCTCTCCTGTCACCTATGACCTCCTTATATACACCCGGTGCAGCTAAACCCCACCACCAAGTGTTCAAAATAATATTGCACTATACATATAACTCAAATAAACTGACACACCAACATCACCCACAAAATGGCTCCTACACCCTATGTACTTTTTCGTTTTTATTTTATTCGACTAATTTTGTTGTGTAAAGTGTTTATAAGTAGTGTGTTTCACTGCTGGTGGTAATGCTACTGCCTGAATAAGCTTAATAAAAGGCAGGTTTTCCTTTAAATAAATCAGATTACATTTTCTACAGGTAACTAGTAATCGTAAAGGATTACATTGACCCTCCCAACCCTGTGTACAGACACACATTCAGACAGACAGATTCCTTGCTTTAAAGTACGGTACTGTCTGTTTCTTCCAGGGAGCAGATGTTGTCAAACGCAAAGCAGAAGCAGGATGATCTGAAGGACACGTCGTTCGCTGTGGAGCAGAAACACAAAACAGTGATGTTGGAAATCCACAAACTGTACATCGACAGCATCGCAGCGTACCACAGCGCTCATCAAGAGAGGGTAAACACTGAAACACTCCTCTCTCACCTGCTTCAGTCAGAGAATACCTAGATTGTAATCTGCCACAAAACCTGGTCTGGGTTCAGTCAGATGTCTGAGAGGACCACTCTTAGTTTGTAGAAAGAATATAGATATGTGTGGCAGAGAAACTCAGGGATTTTAGCCTTTGCAGACCATTTACATGCACCTAAACCTAGGGACACACTACAGGAGGAGGAAAACCCAACATGCACACAGATCAAGGCTCACTTCTCTAAGGCTGGAAAACTAATTCAAAATCCAAGTTCTGACATTATGTTTCTCTGTCTTGACATGAGAAGTTTGAATAATCTAAATCTTCTTATTGTGGGGACAAAACTATTTAAAATGGAAATATTTGTCTGATTTATATTTGTTTTAAAGGTGGGGTAGGTAAGAATGCAGAAACCAGCTCGAGTGCGCTAGAATTTGAAAGTACACACCCGAAAAAAATCTGCCCCTTCCTTCAGACTTCCTTACAGAGCCCCTCCTCCAACACACACGAACGCACACATGATTACATTAGATTAGATTACATTGCATTTAGCTGACGCTTTTATCCAAAGCGACTTACAATAAGTACATTCGACCAGGAAGACACAACCTTGAAGAAAACAGAATCATATAAGTACATCAGGTTTCATAGAGCCAAACATTTCAAGTGCTACTCAACTGGCTTTAGGTAAGCCAGTCCTTTATTAGTATATAAGTGCTTTGTTAATAGTTCTAACGCTCGAAGTGGAGTCGAAAGAGATGATTTTCAGTCTGCGCCGGAAGATGTGTAAGCTATCTGCTGTCCTGATGTCAATGGGGAGCTCATTCCACCATCTTGGAGCCAGGACAGCAAACCCACGTGTTTTTACCGATGGGAACTTGGGTCCCCCTCGCAGCGAGGGCGCAGCGAGTCGTTTGGCTGATGCAGAGCGTAGTGCACGCGCTGGGGTGTACGGTTTAACCATGTCCTGGATGTATGAAGGGCCAGATCCATTCACAGCATGGTAAGCAAGTACCAGTGTCTTGAAGTGGATTCTAGCAGTTACTGGAAGCCAGTGAAGGGAGCGGAGGAGCGGAGTGGTGTGGGAGAATTTAGGAAGGTTGAAGACCAGATGATGACCAATGAGGGCACGAGATGAGTTTGTGCACAGATGGAAGGCTGACAGGCAGGTAGGCCATCCAGTTACTTTAGCCGGCTCAGATGATTGGTCGTGCTTTTTACAGCGCCACGGCTTCCACAGATGACATATTTGTATTTATTGTCAAAGCATTTAATATATTCATTGCTATCGGGATGTTAAGAGCATTCCATGGAATATAACAAAAAGTGTTTCTGAAGTGAATTACCTACCCCACCTTTAATTGTCCTGATCTTACCTCTGTTAATATAGTCATTATCAAAGACAGCTGCATTTCTGTAACACACTGCAGGTTGTCATTTATTCAGTGTATTAAGTGTTTTAGTTTTTGTTTGTATTGTCTTTTGTATATTTTTATTGTACTGTTTTTCATCAATATATCACAGGTCTCAGATATAAACAGAGCCTGTCTCTGATTGGCTGAACCACCAAACCGATCATTGCAGCATTACCCATAATCCCCTCTGTTTCAGCCCTGTTTCCAAAGTGCTGATTCTCTGTCTGTTACTTTAGATGAAAATAAGGAGCCCCTCCCCACGCCCCTCTGAGAGACATTTGGTTACAAAGAACTCAAAGGTGCTCTAGGAGGAGATTCAGGTGATAAGGGGGGGGGGGGGGGTTACCTTGGTTGCTGATTGGCTAATGGTTACACAAGACAACACATCGCTATGACATCATCAAGTGGCCAAAATCTGATCAGCTCATTTTCAGACAGGTTTTTATAGAAATGGATCAAAAAGAGAGAGAATCTTTGTTCCTGAAACTTTCAGAGTCTCTTTCCACAGAGGGGACACATGTTGATGTAGAAGAGACATGAAGAAGAGGGGACACATGTTGATGTAGAAGAGACATGAAGAAGAGGGGACACATGTTGATGTAGAAGAGACATGAAGAAGAGGGGACACATGTTGATGTAGAAGACACATGAAGAAGAGGGGACACATGTTGATGTAGAAGAGACATGAAGAAGAGGCGACACATGTTGATGTAGAAGAGACATGAAGAAGAGGGGACACATGTTGATGTAGAAGAGACATAAAGAAGAGGGGACACATGTTGATGTAGAAGAGACATGAAGAAGAGGGGACACATGTTGATGTAGAAGAGACATGAAGAAGAGGGGACACATGTTGATGTAGAAGAGACATGAAGAAGGGGGGACACATGTTGATGTAGAAGAGACATGGAGAAGAGGGGACACGTGTTGATGTAGAAGAGACATGAAGAAGAGGGGACACATGTTGATGTAGAAGAGACGTGAAGAAGAGGGGACACATGTTGATGTAGAAGAGACATGAAGAAGAGGGGACACATGTTGATGTAGAAGAGACATGAAGAAGAGGGGACACATGTTGATGTAGAAGAGACATGAAGAAGGGGGGACACATGTTGATGTAGAAGAGACATGGAGAAGAGGGGACACATGTTGATGTAGAAGAGACATGAAGAAGAGGGGACACATGTTGATGTAGAAGAGACATGAAGAAGAGAGGACACATGTTGATGTAGAAGAGACATGAAGAAGAGGGGACACATGTTGATGTAGAAGAGACATGAAGAAGAGGGGACACATGTTGATATAGAAGAGACATGAAGAAGAGGGGACACATGTTGATATAGAAGAGACATGAAGAAGAGGGGACACATGTTGATATAGAAGAGACATGAAGAAGAGGGGACACATGTTGATGTAGAAGAGACATGAAGAAGAGGGGACACATGTTGATGTAGAAGAGACATGAAGAAGAGGGTTTTGCACAACATTTGGTGAAAATAATTGTCTCTAATCTTTTTTAATGCTAAATATATTTTCAAATATATTAGTTACATTTTTCTTCTTCTCTTACGAGTTACTCTCTAATGTTGTTTATGTTTGCACGATCGTACACTAAAGCAACTTCCCCGCGTGTGTGAGCGCACCTGTCTCTGACTGTGACCCTCCTGTCTGTGCTCAGCTGCAGTCTCTGGGCCTGGAGGACGCGGAGCGGCTGGACCAGATGAAGAGGAAGAACCAGAAGGCGGTGGAGGTGGGCTCTGAGGAGGACAGCCTGCCCTTCCTGCACTGCATGAAGCAGGGCCTGAAGGACGACGTGAGGAACGTGAAGAGGCTGCAGGTGGAGGAACACACAGATATGATGTGGGGGGGGGGGTTACTCTGAGAGGGATTTCTGATTTCTACTTTAACCCTTGGGGTGGAGGAGAGGAGGAGAAGAGGGGTGGAGGAGAGGAGGGGTGGAGGAGAAGAGGGGTGGAGGGGTGGAGGGGAGGGGGGAGGGGGGAGGGGTGGAGGAGGTGAGGAGGGGTGGAGGGGAGGAGGAGAGGAGGGGTGGAGGGTGGAGGAGAGGAGGGGTGGAGGAGAGGAGAGGAGGTTGAGGAGGGGTGGAGAGGAGGGGTGGAGGAGAGGAGGAGAGGAGGGGTGGAGGAGAGGAGGAGAGGAGGTGAGGAGGGGTGGAGGGGTGGAGGAGAGGAGGAGAGGAGGGGTGGAGGGGTGGAGGAGAGGAGGAGGGGTGGAGAGGAGGAGAGGAGGTGAGGAGGGGAGGAGGGGTGGAGGGGTGGAGGAGAGGAGGGGTGGAGGAGAGGAGGAGAGGAGGGGTGGGAGAGGAGGGGTGGAGGGGTGGAGGAGAGGAGGAGGGGTGGAGAGGAGGAGAGGAGGTGAGGAGGGGAGGAGGAGAGGAGGGGTGGAGGAGAGGAGGAGAGGAGGGGTGGAGAGGAGGGGTGGAGGAGAGGAGGGGTGGAGGGGTGGAGGAGAGGAGGTGTGGAGGAGAGGAGGGGAGGTGCTGCCGTACTGACATTTGTTTATTATTGACATTTTAGTTTTAGCTGACTGGTTTTCTATTTATTTATTTGTTTACTTGTTGTCTGTTTGTCTTCTGTCTGTGAGGGATTTGCCCTGCTGCTAAGCAGTATTTCATTGTTACTATACCTATTTTTTTATAAAGTGAAGATTTGTTTAGCTACTTTTGAAGCTCTGATAGAATAACTGTATGCTGTAACACCTGTGGTCTCCTCCTCTCTCAGGAACTGGTCATCAACCTCCGGGTGCAGTTGACCTCGAGCCGGACGGAGAACGTCTCGGTGGAGAGAGAGCTGACGGAGGCCAGGGATCAGATGAGGAGCCAGACTCAGGTGCTGCGGGACTATCTGACAGCCAATCAGACGGTGGCGAGGAAACAGCTGACCGATGTCACCATGCAGAGCGACCAAGCCGTCAAGAAACTGCAGGCGGTCATCGCCAGGGTAACAGTCTCACTTCCTGTCGGTCCACAGCTGTCTATTCTTATCCCATAACTTGAAATATATGTTGTGCGATCAAGCTTCTCGTGTGCAAGACACTTTCAAAACATGTTTTTTTTTTATCTGCACTTTCTCCTTTGCATACATTTCCCCCTGTGAGACGATACGGTTTCCCGATTACTGATTTCTGTGCTGATCCAGGGTCAGAAGGTCTTACGAGTGGCTGAAATGTGTCGTAAGATGGAGAGCGAGCAGAGGACCATCTCTTCACTGATCCCTGCTGAGGAACAGAGGCAGGAGGAGACTGCAGCTGAGGCAGAGGAACCAGGGAAGGAACCAGGGAAGGAACCAGGAAAGGTAGGATGTGATTCAGAGCTAAGGATATCTTAACCTTTCCAACATTTCCCTTTATCCACTCAGTCATTAAATCGACATTACTGATGATTGTAGGTATCAATAGTAAAGCCTACCGTATTATCACAACACAATAAAGGTAATTAAGGTTATCTGGTCAACGGGAAATATTGGGATATCTGACTTTCTCCATATTGCCCAGCTCTACTTTGAATAATAATTAGGGTTCTGACTTTGTTATTGGTTCTCTGGATGTTTCTCTGGATGTTTCTCCATTAAACAAAAGTCTATAATCCATAAATACATTTCAAAAGTTCAACGACTGGAATAATCAAGAAAAAACACATTGAGTGGATTTACTTCCTCTGAAAAACAAAGTGATTAATCAAAAGGTGAAATGTTGCCTTCACTGTCCTCTGTGTCTGCAGGAGATGTCAGCGCTGTGTCACGTGACGCTGAGCATGAACACCTCGCTGCTGCAGAGAGAAGCTCTGAGGAGGAACAGAGACGCTCTGATGGGAGAGAACCAGCAGCTGAGGATCCTGCTGAGGCAGCACCTGGACGCCATGACACTCACTGACCACGACCTGGAGGAGGCCCACCCTCTGCTCAGCGTGTACCGCGCCCCCACCACCTCCACACACCCCGAGAACCAGAGGAAACACCCCGACAACGAGCGGAAACACACCGTCGTCGAGGCCGTCCACGCCGCCAAACACGCGCTGTGACAGAGACTGAGATTATATAAAAACTGTTTATCAAAACTGTGTTTTCTGAATATCATCACGTTCTAATAACTGTGTTCTCTTTCTTGAGATATTACGAATAGTTTCCCTGAATTTATTGTGGAAGTGATTTCTTAGAGCTGCGTTCAACCACATTTCTATTTCTATTAGGGCTTCTCAATTAATCGTATTTTAATCGCAATTACGATTTTGGCTTGCAACGATTACGAAAACAACGTAATTTAAATTATTTTTTTCAGTTGAATCAAGTTCAGGGTCAACTGTTAAAAACATACTGTTCAAATTTGTTTCAATAAATGGATGTTTTCAAAGTAAATGGATAATCGTTTTTAATAATCGTGATATCAATTATTGACCCAAATAATCGACCCTAATTTCTATCCAATTAATCTTACCGCGCCCCCACCACCTCGTCATCGAGGAAACACACCGTCACCTAGAGGAAACACACCGTCACCTAGAGGAAACACACCGTCATCTAGAGGAAACACACCGTCACCTAGAGGAAACACACGTCACCTAGAGGAAACACACCGTCACCTAGAGGAAACACACCGTCACCTAGAGGAAACACACCGTCACCTAGAGGAAACACACCGTCATCTAGAGGAAACACACCGTCACCTAGAGGAAACACACGTCATCTAGAGGAAACACACCGTCACCTAGAGGAAACACACCGTCATCTAGAGGAAACACACCGTCATCTAGAGGAAACACCGTCATCTAGAGGAAACACACCGTCACCTAGAGGAAACACACCGTCACCTAGAGGAAACACACGTCATCTAGAGGAAACACACCGTCACCTAGAGGAAACACACGTCATCTAGAGGGAACACACCGTCACCTAGAGGAAACACCGTCATCTAGAGGAAAACACCGTCACCTGGGAAACACACCGTCATCTAGAGGGAAACACCGTCACTCTAGAGGAAAACCCACCGTCACTAGAGGAAACACACCGTCACCTAGAAGAAACACACGTCATCTAGAGGAAAACACACGTCCCTAGAGGAAACACACCGTCACCTAGAGGAAACACACCGTCACCTAGAGGAAACACACCGTCACCTAGAGGAAACACACCGTCATCTAGAGGAAACACACCGTCACCTAGAGGAAACACACGTCATCTAGAGGAAACACCGTCATCTAGAGGGAAAAACACCGTCACCTAGAGGAAACACACCGTCATCTAGAGGAAACACCGTCATCTAGAGGAAACACACCGTCACCTAGAGGTAACACATCGTCACCTAGAGGAAACACACCGTCACCTAGAGGAAACACACCGTCACCTAGAGGAAACACACCGTCACCTAGAGGAAACACACCGTCACCTAGAGGAAACACACCGTCACCTAGAGGAAACACACGTCATCTAGAGGAAACACACCGTCACCTAGAGGAAACACACCGTCACCTAGAGGAAACACACCGTCACCTAGAGGAAACACACCGTCACCTAGAGGAAACACACCGTCACCTAGAGGAAAACACACGTCATCTAGAGGAAACACACCGTCACCTAGAGGAAACACACCGTCACCTAGAGGAAAACACACCGTCATCTGCGAGTAAAACTCTAACACAGAAAATACCTCCCCAAAACGCCTCGTTGGAGATACGTCATTGTCCATTTGATTCTTCCGGGTACGCATGATGTCAACCGTACCCGGAACGAAATGGACCAATCCGTGGAGCCGTTACGTTCGCGGAGCCGTTACGTTAAGCCCCCGCTGATTGGTCCAAATTGACCAATCCACGGACTTCCTCACACACTCAGTGCAGGCAGCTCTGCTGATTTCTCCTCCCTGGCTGCAGGCTAATAACAGACAGTTGGGATCGCGGTGACATTCTCTCCGCTGACCCATTCTCTCTGCAGACCCATTCTCTCTGCAGACCATCTCTCTGCAGACCCATTTCTCTCTTGCAGACCCGTTGTCTCTCTTTTTGCAGACCAGTTCTCTCTGCAGACCAGTTCTCTCTACAGACCCATTTCTCTCTGCAGACCCATTCTCTCTCAGACCCATTCTCTCTGCAGACCCGTTCTCTCTGCAGACCCATTCTCTCTGCAGACCCGTTCTCTCTGCAGACCCGTTCTCTCTGCAGACCCCGTTCTCTCTGCAGACCAGTTCTCTCTCCAGACCCGTTCTCTCTGCAGACCCATTCTCTCTGCAGTACCCATTCTCTCTGCAGACCCGTTCTCTCTGCAGACCCGTTCTCTATGCAGACCCGTCTCTCTGCAGACCCGTTCTCTCTGCAAGACCCGTTCTCTACGCAGACCCGTTCTCTCTGCAGACCCATTCTCTCCGCAGACCCGTTCTCTCCGCAGACCCGTTCTCTCCGCAGGACCCGTTCTTCTCGCAGACCCGTTCTCTCTCAGACCCCGTTCTCTCTTGCAGACCCGTTCTCTCTGCAGACCCGTTCTCTCTGCAGACCCGTTTCTCTGCAGACCCATTCTCTCTGCCAGACCCATTCTCCTCTCCAGACCCCATTCTCTCTGCAGACCCATTCTCTCTGCAGACCCATTCTCTCTACAGACCCATTCTCTCTACAGACCCATTCTCTCTGCAGGACCCATTCTCTCTGCAGACCCATTCTCTCTGCAGACCCCATTCTCTCTACAGACCCGTTCTCTCTGCAGACCCATTCTCTCTGCAGACCCATTCTCTCTGCAGACCCATTCTCTCTGCAGACCCATTCTCTCCGCAGACCCATTCTCTCTGCTGACCCATTCTCTCTGCAGACCCATTCTCTCCGCTGACCCATTCTCTCTGCTGACCCATTCTCTCTGCAGACCCATTCTCTCTGCAGACCCATTCTCTCTGCAGACCCATTCTCTCTGCATTTGCATCTCTCTGCAGACCATTCTCACAGCGTTTATCAACCTTTTTCTTTACTCAATATCAAGCCACACTTATTGTTTTTACTTCGGCTGTGACTTTGTGTGTGCTCAGGATGAGTTTGGCTGTGTATCGCTAAACAAGGAAACCACACCTCCACGGAGCTCAGCGCGATTCACAACGTCCCGACCAATCAGAGTGTGCTCACAGGGAGGGTGGGGGCTGGAGCTATTGGAGCTCCAACGAGCCGTTAAAGGCAGAGAGTGAAATTCAGTGAATACACGTAGTTTACAGAGATGCTGTTTGAGAAACCAATGTGAGTTTGGAAAATTGCACAATATAAATCTATTCTAGTCGACCTCAACAATGGAGTTATGATCAGTGGAAATGGCCGTGACATGGGACCTTTAAGGCATAATTGAAGTATTCCTATACTCCTAGCGTGTGAAAATGTTTGTGAAAAACATGTTAAAAAAACATGAAAATGGAGCACCAATGACTGTACGCCATTGGCTGTACGGCAACTCAAGAGGACCATCATACACGGTCAAATTCCGAACATTTAAACATAGCCTACACTTCATTCTTTACTTTGTCCGTTATTATATGTAGAAGATATTACTTTTTTCTCCGTGATGTTGTTTCCATAGAATCCTTTTCCGTTTCACAAAACACAAATTGGGTTATATACATAATTAACACATCTAACAGGTTCGTTTTCCACAGACCTTATTTCGAGCTATTTTCCAAAACCCTATGGAGAAATCCCATTGCTTTCTGTCGAGGGAATCCGAGCGCAGCTTACTTCCGGGTTTTAGGACGCGTCACTGCACCACTTGCATAGACCTCACAGCGGGCGGAACTTGTCATAAAGTCCGCGAAAATAAAGCCCGCCCATTTAGAGGGAAGATATGATTGGTCAATTGTACTGTCATTTGACATTACTCGTTGAGTTACTATAGCTGGCCCTCTGTGAATGTAGAGAGGGACCAACAAGCTCTCCCGTCTTCACATAACTCGCAGAGACGCATTTAACCCTTCACATTCCAACAGAAACTGAACAGGCAGATTCGAAGCATTTATTTCTTTGGAAATATTATTTTAAATACAATTAAATCAAGTTATTTTGGTAAAACTAATGAAAAATGTAACAACAACATATAAAAAATATATATTTGAAAAAAATGTTGTTTTTTTAATGTTTTCAAATATTATTTTTTAGAATATCTTAGGCCCTCACAGAGGACCTAGAGGGCCCTGACGGCTCGCCACTGACTCCCATACTCCTAGCGTGTGGCTGCGATGCTAGCTTTGCGGCTAGCGGTTAGCACTTTAAATGGAAATATACATCGAAACATCATGTTTCAGTAAAAAGAAGGCCCCACTGATCATCTACTCTCTAAGACGATTCCAGGGATGCCTGACTTGAGTTTCTAGCACCAGGGAAAGTGGACAAAAGTGCCCCAGATCAGCCTCTTAATTTACCCAGGGCCTAGTGCTTAGCTTTGGGCATGAAAAAAAGCGTTTTATTAACCCTTTCATGCCTGAATTATGAAAGCCTCAGTCAGGATTTTTTTACCAAGTGTTATTATTGCTCTTGGGGCATGAAAAACAAGATTTGAACTTTATTTTTATATGTCCACTCAGGTGGACACTATGCGTTCAGGGTTTGAACTGAAGAGATGTACATTTTGAAAAAATGATAAATAAAGATGTGCAAACTTAAAATTACATTATAATAACATAAGTATATTGATTTAAGGCCCAAAAAGATATTGCAGATTAAGTATTTTCAAGAATAACCAGGGCCAGGGGCCAATTTGAGGCCCCACGCACAGTTATTTGATGAGTGCTAGTGGAGCCTCGCAGCAGCGAAACCGTGCCGCGCCACCCTAATTGCGCCACATAAGCGCATAGGTGCGCCTCAGATGAGGCCCCCCTCCGCAAGGGGTCCTTTACTTCTAAACTTCTCTTTCTGTCCCTTGATGTATGCAAGATCTTTTAAAGGAATCCTTTTCCCTCCGCTGCAGGAAAAGTTAATGTGGGCTTGGATCACACAGCCATCACAGCCTCCCCCCTCACAACTGGTAATCCGACACTTGCAAGTGAAAATATCAAATAATTTGTCTAACTTGACACTGAACCTCTCCTTGGCATCAAGTTTGCCCT